TAACGTAATCCACCAGCGAGTCGCCCAAACCACCGAGTCGCCCACTTCATCTCCGTAACAGCGATCATCACGATTTTTTCGCAATGTCTCAACAACAGAGCCCTCAATTACCTTCAAATGAAGCTAGAATGAACCTAGCCATCCAGACTATCGAACAAGACCAAGTTCAATCAATTCGAGAAGCTGCAAAAGCTTACAACGTCCCGTGGAGTACCTTACGTGACCGCCGCAACGGAATGACTGCACGAAGCGATTGTGTCCCGAATTCGAAAAAGCTCTCAAATATGGAAGAAAGGGTGATTATCGACTACTGCCTCGATGTCGACGCGCGCGGATTTCAGCTCAATTACGATATGTTGCGAGATATAGCCAACAAGCTACTCAGCGATCGCGGTCAGGCTCACGTTGGTATCAATTGGCCTTCAAGATTCGTACAACGCGTTCCAGAGCTCAAAACACGTGTTAATCGAAAGTACGACTATAAAAGAGCCCTGAACGAAGATCCAGAGATTATTGGCGCGTGGTTTCGCCTCGTACGCAACGTGAAGGCAAAATACGGTATCCTGGATGAAGATACATACAACTTTGATGAAGTTGGCTTTCAAATGGGCGTAATCGGGACGCGCATGGTCATCACGGGTACCGAACGACGTCAGACTCCAAAAACCTTGCAGCCAGGCAATACAGAATGGGTGACATCGATCATTGCTGCCAGCGCGCAAGGTTGGATTGTCCCACCCTTCATCATCTTCAAAAGCGCTCGACATTACAATACCTGGTACGAGGCGATTGCGGATAGGCCTGATTGGGTTCTATCAGTTAGCGAGAAGGGCTGGACGTCCCTTGAGCATGGATTTGAGTGGTTAAAGCATTTTAATCGCTTCACAGAAGACCGTACGACTGGCGCCTATCGGCTTCTGATTATGGATGGCCATAACAGCCATGACACTATCCAATTCCAGGATTTCTGCAAGGACCAGAAGATTATTACTCTCTGCATGCCTTCGCATTCATCTCATTTGCTACAACCCCTCGACGTTGGCTGTTTTGGGCCATTAAAGCGCGCGTATAGCAAGGAGATTGAGGACTTTATCCGGTGCCGCATCAACCACATCACGAAAGAGGACTTTTTACCTGCTTTCAAGACCGCCTTCGAAAAAGCAATTGCTACGGAGAATATCCAGGGCGCCTTCAAAGGCGCAGGATTAGTGCCTTTCGATCCAGAAGCTGTTATTTCAAAGCTTGATGTCCGATTACAGACCCCGACGCCATTACCAGAGATCACTCAATGGGAGTCGCAAACACCACGCAACGTCGCTGAAATAAGGTCCCAAACAGAGTACATACGACAGCGCCTTCAAAGAGATCAAAATACCTCCCCAACACCGCTTTTAGAAAGCTTTTCAAGCCTTGAAAAGGGTGTTCAAATGGTCGCGCACGGAGCTTCAATCATGGAGGTCGAGATAGGAAAGCTTCGGAAGGCAAACGAGACGCTATCAAAGCGCAAACAACGCAAAAAAAAGGTGCTTAAGGGCGCTAATACGCGCTCAATTACTGATGGGCTTGAATTAGCTGTACAACGTCGGGATCAAGATATAATCAGTGAAAATGGTACTTCTAATGACGTTCCCGCAAGGCGCCAGCGACGTTGCGGACGCTGTCGCGAGCCAGGACATCGCGTTGAGACCTGTACAATGCCTCAATTAGCTATACCAGAAAACGTAGATCCTAGCCTACTTCCTAATTAATAAATTGCTTCAGTAGTTGTTGAGATATTCAGGTTACGGTAGTGGGCCACGGTTGAGGTGGGCGACTCGGTGGTTTGGGCGACTCGCTGGTGGATTACGTTAGTTAAGTTAAGTTAAGTTAGTGCTGGTTCAGTTTGTTTCTTCCACAGCAGATGCCTATAGTTCTCATCAGCATAACCCCAAAATTGTTGGTATGTGCCATCATTGCGATTGCTTAGTGATGCTGGCAGTTAATGACATGGGCTTGCATTCATACAGCGTGGTTCAAGAAGAATGTTTGGACTGAACCGCGCTGGAGATGCATGCACAGCAAATCCGGTCAGACTTCATCTGCATCATGGATGGTGCCTTGGTATACCAAATATCTGGATATACACCATGGCGGTTGCTATTGTTGCGGTAATTCCTTCATGAAATTCCTTCATGGTTAGCCGCATGAAGCAGGTACAACGCCGGAGCATTACGTTCGTGTCTATTTTCCCAACTCGTCTCGGTCCCTCAAGGAAAGTTTCGATCGTTTTCATTCATTGCTTTCCTTCGTTAGTCTCGAGTCGATTATACTTAGTCTTATCAATCCACAGCCTTCATCTACCATGTCCGTCAAAGGAACCGTCCATATGTCAATGGTGCAGCCATTGAAGCCCCATATTCCAACCCCAGTTCGATGCATTATCGAGAACACGGTGGTTTCCGTCAGTCGAATCTTCGTGGATGAATCCTCCCTCATCGGAAAGATACGCGGATATGGCTTGTTTACTACGGACAAGATCGCTGCGTACACCGATGTCTTCCGCACGTCCAATCCGGCAACATGGTGTGTCATGCCCCAAGTCTTCAAACAAGCCTGCGACAACTGCTTCGCCGATAGAGCGAGAGACGTCGGGCAACTGGACTACCAACTGGATCCGACTAATAAAATGCAACCACTTATCCCGTGCGATGGCTGCAAGAGGGTATATTACTGCGATGATGTGAGTCGGTGCTCCCATATTTGAAGGAATCCAACTGAGAGTTCCGGCCACAGTTCTGCCGGAGGGCGGCTTGGGACAACCATCACAAGCGAGAGTGTCAGTACTTCCAAGAGGAGAGATGGAAATGGATTTGCGTCAACCAGTTCGCGAAGCTCGCACGATTGGTGATGCGCTTATACTCCTCCGAGGCATCAGAAGAACAAATATTTGCGCTAAGGGGCCAGCTGCCAATGCACCCGAGCCGCTTGCAACGTTACTTAAAGAATCCTATTTTCACCCAAACCATACGCATTTTGACTGAGACGATGGCTCACCTTTGCCGAGCTGAGGGGCGGCTTCCACTTTCTTGGCAAGACTGCACAAGATTGGCCATCAGAGTGAGATCAAGTTTGCGTTTCGACCGAAAACCGAAGCTGATCATTGTGAAGCTGGACAGCTTGGTCCGCCTCTACAGGCTATCGCCGTGCCACCAATTCCATATGACTTATCGGATTGACCTCACCATGATTTATGTCTGTCACTCATGCGATCCGAACTGCCACTACTTCGTCAATGGGAAGGAGTTGGTTCTTCGAACTCTAAAACCCATCCAGCCTGGAGAACAGTTGACAGCTTCACTCATCGTGAGGGCAGAGTTGTCGGCGGTCGACCGAACCGGTTTCTTGGCCAGTGAAGTAAACCAACCTTGCGAATGTGAGTCATCGGGTGATTATCTCTCAACCCTTCCGTTAACCTTCACAGGTTCAAAATGCATTGAGGAGTACTTCTCTTCGCTTTCGCCGGCATCCACGGCCTTACAAACCCTCAGTAATATCCTCCGCAATCCTGCCCTCGATGGTCCAACTACGTTGGCAGCCGACGCATGGCGACCACTGAGGGGCCGTGTATGGGACTTTGCCCTTGGAACATATCATTTCCAAGAAGCGTTTGAACTGGTTGCGCGGATCACCACGTGGGCCTACTTTTGTGCCCCGCCATTCGAAGAGCACCCTCATCGAGTGTATCCTCTTATCGTCGTCTGTTTAGCACTGAATGGGGCACTGCGCTATGCCCTCTCTCCAGCGAGCCCCAGAGGGTCATTTGGATTGAAGGAAGCCGTCGGGGAAGACGATTTGGGGTGTGCGCTCTCGGATTGTTGCACTCAAGCGATCAACGACGGAAAAAATATTTTCGGTCCGGATTGCTACCCATTCAGGAAGCTGGAAGACATGTTCGGGCTGTTTTACGTCCGAAATGCGAAACAGACGACCTACGAAGAGTTCCTCTTCGAGTTTCGTGCCAAATACCCGGCTCTGATCAAGTGGTGTAGCGATGCCGCTGTGGATAATGCGGAGCGCTTTGAGCAGTGGTTGACGATGGTTCCGCTCCTTTTTGAAAATCACTAATCCCGCAAGGCCAAAGCCGTTGGTTGACACTCATGTACTGCCCATCATTCGCTAAGATCCACCTCAAGAAAGCAGACAGCGAATTTCACATGCAGTTCCCATTCATCTCAGAGAGACTCGGTCAGACGAGTGTACGTACTGGTAACCGGTCTGTTCAGATACGTTTCGAGTCAGTGATCCAACTGGTGCAGCCGGGCAACGAACTGCCAACGCATGCTCCGTTATCACAACTAATCCGTTAATCTCCAAAAAGTGCCAAGTTTCGACGAGCCAACGGTGGATTGGATCCCGGCTGGTGAGTGGTGCCCGTGATTGCGTGTGTGGGCGTCTGTGTCCTTCTCCACAAAGTCTTTGCTTCTTCCCCGCATTCCCCTTTCGCGCATCGGCGGCCATCGACCTGGTTTTGTCCTGTCATCCAACGCCTCGCTCGACTGTGGGGCGCAACAAGAAATGATGGGATGAAACCTCAGTCATTTTCTACCGAATTTGCTCATTCATTATTAATGCGTGTCCAATGGTTTCCTATGAACGACTCTCCCATTGGACGGCACCATTTCCAAACGTTAAACCTCCAGGGTGACACCTGGAATCCCTCATCTATCACGCTCTGTATAATGAAACTCGGAGGGCTCGGTAGTCGGTAGCCTTCTATGCGCTTCCTATGCCCTATTCTATAGGCATACTTCGCCAACAGACTATTGCGATATTTATCCGTTTCATATCGACTTCTTGGCCTGGAGTTTGTTCCATTTCCGCCTGTCAGCGTGTCAGATCGCTGGTTGGCTCCCGTTGCGTCCCACCTGTATTGGCCTGTGCCTCTCGCGGGCTATATCTGAAACTTGGCGAAGTCTATTCACGCTTGGAACACTAGAAGCCTCGTTAGAATCCCATTGCTACTAGGTTTACACATGCTTTCCAAGATTCCTTTATTGCTCTACCGTTCTGAGCGGCCCTACTTCCCGTTTTGACTTATGTTCATTTATCTATGTTATCTATGAATCGACCCCGCCACGCATGTTCTTTGGGACCCGTCGTATATCGTAATCGTTTGTTCCTGCACGGTTGATCCGCAATAAAGCCAGCCGGTAACTTCACCTGAAAAGTGGTTTCTTCTGCAGAAGTTCGTGGGCCATGTCGTCGAAACGATCGCATAAGAAGTCAAAGAATGGTTGCAAGACGTGTAGGCAGAGGAAGATCAAGGTGAGCCATTTTACATCTGCCCTGTCGAATATCCGTTCGGATGAATTGGGAGCAGAGAATATGTTGTCATTGGCTTCTTACGAGCTCCAATCGAGTTCAACGTATAGCGGCAGTCTGAGCGGCATGGCTTACCAACGACAACACAGTGCGATGAGACGAGACCAGTATGCCTACCATGTAGAAAACATCGAGTCCTGTGCCACTGGAATGGCCCAGATCAGTCACAAAACGACGCCTTAAGCCAACTTGAGCAGCAGGCCACATTATCATTCCAGTTCAACGACCCGGGGTCACCACCATGGTTTGGGTATCCGGACCGGCCGATTCTAGAGCTGGAGCTGATAAACATCCATACCTATATTCACGCGACGGCTTCATCATCCTTTGAACCGCAAATCCGCCGTCTCTGGGCATACGAGGTGCCCCAACGGGCTCTTCACTGTGATTATTTGATGAGCAGCATCCTCGGCTATGCCGCCTTCCACACGCATATTCACAATCCCGGAAATATTCGCATGAAGCTGGCGGCGCATAACTACTTCGGCGATGCCGTGCGGAAGCTGAGCAAGGAGCTAGCGAACATCACGGAAAAGAACGCCGGCCTGGTGTTCGCGGCGTCGACGATCATCGCGTTCCATTCCAGTATCCTGTGGCTTGATCCGTGTACTCGGAATGATCGATCCGGGTACGAGTTGCCCTTGCAATGGTTCCAGACAGGGCAGGGGGTGGGTGCTGTGGTCCGATCCGCGGGGAAATACATCGCGGGAACCCCGATTGGGCTACTGGTCGAGGGGCTCCCGCACAAGCAGCCGGAGTGCGAGCCAGTCGAGATGCTCGCGCCGCTGAAAGCAGTCTTTTTCCCGGAAACAACTCCAAAGAGTCCGGCGGAGGTCAATCCGGACGATATGTGTCTTAACATGGTGTTTCGGTATATCGAATCGATGTACCGTGGGCTTCTGAAGGGCGAAGCGATCCGAATCACCCGGCGACGAATTCTGGTGTTTCCGACGATCCTGAGCCGGAGATACATCGATCTGCTGCGTGCGCATGATCCTCGCGCCCTAACCCTCCTGGCGTACTACTTCGCCGGCATGAAGGTCGTCGAGCAGCACTGGTGGATCAAAGGTCGCGCCGACCATGAGATCCTCGGCATCATCGATCTGTTGCCGCAGGAATGGCGGATGCAGTGTGTCTGGCCGTGCATTGTCGATCCACTGGAGTGGTTCGAAGCCGGGATACCCCTGTGCATCATCCGAATGGATGACGGGCAAGATGTCGGCGTGGTGTTTCTCCCCTTCGAAGCTGGCGGTGCGCAGGCGCAATTGGAGCAGTTCACCAAGCCGGACGTACCCGGCGTGGATGGCCCGGAGACGGTGGAGTCGGTGCGCGAAAGTCCAGAGGCACCGCGCCTGGGGCCGTTGACCACGTTCGCGTGAACATGGGGACAGCGAACTGGATTGGTGCACGAGTGGCGGTCCGGAGTTGGGCTGGATCAGTTGGGATCAGCCATCGGCGTGGGATCATTTCGGCAAGGTGAGCATCGCACTGCGCGATTGCTTTGATCCAGGTGCTTCCATTTATGCCTGAAATGCTTTCTTATCTATAAATCATATTAGCTCGGCGTGTTGCTAGTGTGTATAGGATTACCCCGGAGACTGCGATGGTGTCTCGAAACCGCGATGGTATGTTTGGCATGTCATGAGGAGACGGTCCATTTATAAAGCTCCCTTGAAGGGATCTGTATATCGAAATCGAAGTCATGTCAACGATATAAAATCGAACAAATTGATGAAAGAAATCCCGTCCACAAAGAAACTGAAGACTGCGGTTCGTCGCACGGACAAAAGAAAGGACGACTCGTCTGGCGTCCACCGTCCTTTTGTATGCATGTTTCTCAGCCGAATCTTTCACAAATTCGGAGGGTTCACTATTTCACGACAGAATGTATCTGCCGACGAGGCTCACATGTAATGCAAGGCGCTTATAGGAGTCGAAACCCGGTCCAGTTACTGTTTCAGGCACCCTCCTGCTCGCTCTCGGGTTCTGATAAGCACCAGGTTCAATTGGTGACCAATCAGCAGCATGATTGAACAACGCCAGATGCACTGCACAAATGCACAAGTGGGTTCAATCCGAGATATTCGGCTATCTTGGTGGGCATCCAATAGTAGCAACTGGTTTTAAAGACGTGTGTCGGTTCCCCTGGTGTGAAGAGCATCTGATTCCGAGTTGAAGTGGGTGTGATGTCTTTTAGTTATGGAGTAGGGTGGTCGCATCGAATGTGACTTTTCAATGAGTTTCAATGCCGAGTCGCATAGTGTCCGATCGGCCATCGATTACCCCTGTACAGAATATGGTTACTCGCCCTATGCGAGAGATGTAAGTTTCATCAAAGGCAATATACACCTTCCAGCGCATGTCAAATTCCCGGCCTGTTGCTCATTCCAGGTTGAAAGTAGAGAAAGATACGGTACGTTTGCGATACTACTGATTAACTCACGATCACTGTGAAGGGATTGTCCAACCATCATTCTAAAGGCCGGTTGACGAGAGCGTGTCGACGTTATGCAAGCTAAGAGCGAGTGCGAATATGATCTTTTGTCGAGACACTTCACATGCTTTGAAGAACACTTGCAGTGTCGTAGAATCAACCACGGCCCCGAACGGTATTATGGTCAGGATGGCTGCACGGATATAGTAGCTCTCGCACTGGGGATATCGCTGAATATGATACCCAAAGACCAGGATACTGACACTTTGCGCTTAGAAGACATATCAACCTAGATCGATACATCAGTCACAAGTTCTATGATATTGGGAGGACCAGCATAAACACAGTCCCGTCGAAGGCATGGACATTGAATCCAACCGGTTGACTATTTGTTACTGCCAGTGGCAGAGCAACGGATGTGAAGTCACATAAATTATATGACCCCTTATCAACAAAATGACGACATGCATACATCCAGGCATGCTAGCTACTGTATACGACTGCAGCGCACGTCCACTGGGAATTTGCAATCATTCTCTGCAACATGCACCGCAGAGGCAGATGTAACGATGAGAGTTCGCATGACACCTTTTGTGGTTCCCATGCTCTTTTGATATCGATGTGCCTCATGGCTTCCCCGTTGTGCGCCACGCAAATGCGATATCCGACTCCGTATTCGACACTCATGCGACATGCCTGGTATGACCGTTGCTAATGCTGTGAAAGGAAGCCTCAATCACGAGATCGAACACTCATGTTTTGGGTACCTGGGACTCGAGGTTGCCAATCTGCTTTCGGAGTTGCACCCAGAAGTCCTGGCCGGATGCCATGGCATTCGCTGCAAACCATGTTAACCTTCTTTCATTCGCGAAGACACGGTTGGTTTGATGGGGACGTACGCCTACTACCCCAAGCCGCTGCTTTTCCAGCGCTTGCACTGCCATCCGATGGCTTCCAATGTCGCACGTCGGCCCCACCCACTGCCCGCGTGTAGCATTGCTTCAGGAATTCCTTGGTTTCCGCGGAATTGAATCCGTTCACGGGGACATGCTTCTCGTCCGCCGGAGACACCGCCGCCTTTCCGCTCGCATAAGATTGGCTCGCGGCTCCGGGGGACTGTGGCGCGGACGACTTCTGAGACGCTCCGCGGGTCCAGACGTTCGTTCCCGGAGATTGCAGGTTCCCCGTCTGTTTGTCCCGCGACGGGGTGTTGGATCGATCGCGGGAACTGCCAGACGATGGCTGCCGGGGGTTCTGCGGCGCAGCGAGGTTGGCCGGTGGCGGTCGGCGCCAGCTAGAATGGAAGGTTAATATCCGTACGTGGCTTCTGAAATCGGCAAAGGACCAAGATCATGAACAGCTAGTGGGATACACGACTGGACCGTGGTGTGATGGACTCGAGCATGCGTTGGCATCAACATGAACTTACCGGTTCTCGCTTGCGGCGCTCATGGTGAACCAGGACGAGGGAATGACGCCAAGGAAAGATTCGACAACCGCCTCCGCAATTCCTCGACGCAAAGGAGGACAAGTTGCGAGAAGCTCGATTAGGCTGATAGCCCTTGACGGCGGATGGAGGAAATGACAACACCATGAGCTGATTGTCAGTTGTCACATTGCCTACGCGAACGGCGTGAACCGTCCGCCGGATTTAAAGTGGGGCCACACCAGTCGAACTTTCGGACCACATCACTAAAATATTCCACAGCACCACCATCGACGCCATCGATTTTACATCTCCAGCACTACTCTCAAATCCCATTGTTGGCGCAGGATAACCACTTCTTTGCGTCCATTCTCAACTTTTCAAAATGGCTCCAGCAACCGTATGACCGCCCCCCTCGTTCCCGTGCCTCGAACTTCAGCTGATCATGTCACAGAAACGTACTGGTGGCGCCAAGGGCGGAGCGAAGAAGGGCCAGAAGATCACGAAGAAGGTATAGAGAGTTGCCTTCGCGATGGATGGAGAGAGAAGGCGGCTAACATCCCCCCCAGTTCGTCATCAACGCCGCACAGCCCGCCAACGACAAGATCTTCGACGTCTCTGCCTTCGAGAAGTTCCTCCACGACCGCATCAAGGTGGACGGCCGCACCGGCAACCTCGGCGACACGATCCAGATCTCGCAGGTTGGCGAGGGCAAGATCGAGGTCGTCGCCCACCAGGAGTTCTCCGGCCGCTACCTCAAGTACCTCACCAAGAAGTTCTTGAAGAAGCAGCAGCTCCGCGACTGGCTGCGCGTCGTGTCCACCTCCAAGGGCGTCTATGAACTGCGATTCTTCAATGTCATGGACGATGCTGAGGAAGAGGACGAGGATTAGACTTGCGCGCCAACATGGGACCTGTCAAGTGCCTACACTGGTCATTGGCGTCATAGCTAGTCCAGCATGTATCCTAGAATCACCGGGAAAGCATGAGAATCAATAATGGTGTTGACAGAGACTTTCTATGGCCCCTCGTTTTAATGCGTCATTGTTCGTGTCTATCATCGTTATCCATCGTCCATGCCCAACTCGTGCAACCGGTCGTTTTAGCCGGCACGTGAGGTCTGAATATTACACCTCTCGCACGGTTCCAATATTTCGGAGACAGCGTCCGCATTCGAAGCGTGTAGCAACTAGTAATCCATGAGATCACCATATGACCCATTTGAACCCGCCACGTCCTCCATCGTCATGGCCTGGCCGCCCCTCAGTGCCTCCATGTGAGGTCCGCGACCTTTGCCAGAGGCGACCACTAGGTTGGCATGCAACATATTCATGCGCATTAACCGCAGCCGCAACGTCCGCTCGTACGACTGAGCCATGTCAAGCGCTTGGGCTTGCAGGGCCGATCGGGGATGTGGAGTGGGGGAGATGAGTAGCTGAGGAGCTGTTAGTGTCTCCGTTGGAAAAGTATCGTAGAGAGGCTTACTCGATCCACCAGGTCTAGCCGTGCCTCCAGAGACCCCCTTTTGATCATGTCCACTAATTCCTCCTCGATTGGTCGCCCATCGGTGGACGGGAACCGTGTCTGCATCTCGTCCAGCGTGACCTTATTGAACGGTTTAAAGTACTGCACGATGCTCTTCCGCCGCACCAGTTCGTAGAGCTGGAGCAGATGCGGCTGCAGGTAGACGTCTAGCAAGTAGTCGTTGCGGTGCGAGTCTAGGATTTCGAGGCAGGCGGAGTAGTTGCAGGAGCAGAAGAGGGAGATGGCCCGACGAATGTGCGGTTCCAGTTCCAGGAAATGTCGGAACGTCGCGCTGTCGAGGACCCTCTCTTTGAGCTCTTGGGGGCTCATGGATGCCAGCGCACAGAGACCGCCGTAGACGGCAATGTCGTTGCCTGTTATCAGCTCTTTCTGAAAGTCGATCCCCGCACGTGGTTCTAGGGCCGTATAAGATTGCGGGGTTGCAATGAAACTCCTCGCCGCGTCGGCATAGTTCTTCGCGGCGAGTGAGACGAGACCGTTCAAGGGCGGCAGGAGGGCGTCGATAATGTCTTTGTCCTCGGTCGGAAGGGGTTGAGCGAGGACGCGCTGGATGGCGTTCCCGAGGTGGTGGAGCTGCTTGGTGGCAAGGTGGACCATGGCCAGCTTGAGGAATAGTTCGATTTCATGACGGGCGGTTTGTCGGAATTCCCGGGCGCGGGCGTATGCTTTCAAGGCACTGCCGAAGTCCCCGATCTGGTACGCGTGGAAGGCGATGTCTTCATTTGCCATCTACGCTGCTGTCAGCTGCCTGGCTTTCGAAGCCGCCTGAAATGCCCAGGCCGGAGTGAGTTTCTGAACGCTTACACGAATGCTCTCTCGGATCATGTTGTTCTTGTACCCTTTCAGCTCCTGATCCAACCGGTCCGATTCCGCCTTCTCCACCAGCTTCGTCCGGGCGACCCAGTCCAGGTCTGTCTCGCTCAGCGGATCTCCCGGCACGATCTTCTGCAAGATCTCCATGACCTGCATGTAGGCATCCACATCTTTGCCGCGTCGGGCCTCTTCCATCGCCAGTCGGAGCGCATCCAGACACAGGCACGTCGACGTGGCGCCGATGGACTTTAACCGGTCGAGTTTTGTTCTTCCTGTGGCGGGATCAGCAACGGCGTCATGTCTGCGTGGAACGGGGTAGCCGGACCTTGGTAGTTGGAGATGTATGATTCGAGGTCGAATTTGGGAGGTTCTGCGGAGTCTTAGTCAGCGGACGAGCTATTCTATAGCATAGGAGACGTACCATGGACAACAACGAGCCCATTTTGGGCGCGGTTATTGAAGAATTCGGAATTGGCAGCCATGGTGAGTTTGCGGCGATGTCGTGCGGCGGTTGGTAGGTGCCCGTTCGGACGGCTTAGTCCATAGCTGGTGAGGAATGGTTTGGATTACGAGCTAGGAGGGTTGATCATTCGTAAACTGGTTCCGTTTGGTCCTTCAAATTTTCATGCGTTTCCAGCGTGTGTATCAGTGTACAATATGTTCAAGGTACGAGCAAGTGAAGTTATCGTAGTGAAGTTATCATATGGCTGGAGCTCCAGGTTAAGCAGGAGCTCGGGGTGAGCTTACAGTGTCATGGATGCCTTACCGACTATCGGCTTGATGCCTGAGGCACCAAGGCACCAATAGAGTATAGCACGTGATATGACGCAAGTATGGAATTGTTCCATGCGTTCTGGGCTCAGGCACTCTTCACCATCGACAGGCGATATGATTGAAAAGCATGTTTATGGGTTACTGATACAAACTCTATCAATGACTGAGCAGGCCAGTGACCTGCACAAGCCCAACTTTTCCAGTCCTATGGTCATGTCATCGGCATTAGCCATGTAGCCGTCGTCAAGTCCCCATGTCCCGTAGGCCGTTAATACACCAGACATCCCGTATCGTCAAAGTGGGTGGCCCTTCGTGTTCCTGCCGACCCATATTAAGACCTTCCAAACGCCGCAAATGATTCGAATCGACAAATGACACGGGCCGAATGGGCGTGCAATAAAAGCCACCAACCATCCGGCGTTGAATGAAAGTAGACGCGTGACCCAAGTGGGGTCCGCGTCGTCCCCAAACCCCTTCCCATAAAAGTACAGAACTCATAGCATACAACTGGACCACTTTTCAGAGCATCGGGGATGCATCATCTCAGATCAAGAACGGCGTCGATTCAACGTTGACCAGGTTATCGGGCACCCACGGACCTTTCTCCTCCTCAGTCGCGCCCAGCAGAGCCGATGCACGCTCCAAGGTTCGGATATCCAGGTCCGTCACGTAGTTCTTGGTATCGAGGTTGACGCGGACCTCGAACTCGCGATCCAACATCATGTCGTCCTTCCATAGTCGACGAGGGCCGTCGTACACGCAGATGACCCGCTTCTTCATGTTCATACGGTCGACTGGACAACCCCAAGACGTGGGATAGTTCTTTCGCCTCTTGCGGCCGGACGTCTGCCCCGTGAAGGGTACGCCGCCCTTGCTGAACGTGAGACCGGCGCGGGTTCCAACGTGACCAGTTCCTCTCCCACCAGTGGTCTTGGCGATGCGGTTGTGAGGGTTGCCACCCCCGACGTGCTGCGAAGGGCCGACACCTCGGGGATGTGCTAATTGTCACATTGGATCTTCTTTCCGGGACCGGATGCCGCCCTTGCCGGAGCGTGGATCGCTGCTGTTGCCGTCCCCGCTCTCCTCATTGTCCGCATCGTCGTCGTCCTCATCTTCGTACGGGGGAAGGCTGAAGTCCATGCCGTCTGAAAGTTTATGGCGTGTGAGGGACTCCTTGACATTCTCGTCGTTCTGGACCGACTCGAGGTTCTTCTGGTTGATGGCCTCGCTCGGCTCAATCTGCTGCACGACGCGAAGGACACAGTCGTCGAGATGCTCGTAAAACTCCTGGGCGGTCGGGAAGACGATGCTACATGTGGAGCAGGTGCCCGATGTATTGTTTTGAGGGTTTTGTCCTTTCCTGCCTGGGCTCCTCTTCCGGCTATTGGGTGGGGTTTGTTCCACTCCATGGACCGAAGTCAGATGTCGCTTGAAGACATCGGCGCGGTTGAAACTCTTCTCCGCTGCGGAACCCGAGCCCGGGCAGAAGCCGCACACCATGGTACCCTTGTAATGGGTCAACGTATGACGGTTCTTGTCATACTTCCGTGCGAATCCTTTCACGTGGTATTCGCAGGTTTGGATCGGGCACTTCTCGGGCCGCTCGGTTTGGTGGGTCAACATATGGGCCTTGAGGTCCTTGAAGACACGACCACAGTCCCCGATCGGGCAAAGCCCCTTGGGGTCCTCCTCGAGATCGGAACGACTTGATCGCGAATGCCTTGACGCCTGTGAGCCAATAGACTGTCGTCGTGATTCGTTGAAGGTAGGATAGGGCTCGTATCGGTTTCGTGGCGATTGGCTGCCATGGGTAATGTTTCTCGAACTGACCCGAGGGTGGCTATGGCCCGAATTTTGAGAATAGGCCGGGGAAGGGGGGTGTTCGACGTTGGTGAGATGGGGCGATGCGGTCCCGCCATTGAATCCGGTTGGGTATAAGTAGGGAGCAGCGAAATGATTGGCGATAAGAGAAGGATCTAAAAGCACGGTCGGAGTTAGCTGCTGCTAAGAGGGTTTGCAAAGCTTCTTCAAGATATATGAAGATCGATAAAGCAAGGATAAGGAAAAACCAACAAGAAGACTCCAACGGAGGAACGAAAATGCCGCTGCTTTGATGAAAGAATGGAGATGAAAGAGATTCAGAAGACGCAGGAAAGTTGCCCTGGACGGGCTCTACTGCCGCGGATGGGGGCCAAATTTGATGCGAGAGGAGCGAATTTCTTCGAGGAGCCACCGGTGACCCCGCCACCGACCTTGGGCCCCCATGTGGTTCCTGCTGTGGCACTTGAGAGCATCGAAGATATGGAGACGCCATCCTGGAGGCTGGGAGGCTTGGAGACTTGAACATCCCGCCATCCTGCGATTCGATGGGGGTGACGGTCGACCCGTTTGACCTAGGGATCTCGGTCGGGGTGGTGGCGGTCGGCGACGATGTGTTCTCCAGGAAAGGGCGGGCAATTGAAGATCTTCTCGGATATCGCAACACAGGCGACTTGAAAGACTCGGAAGAAGAAGGAAAGGCAGAAGACACGCTAAAATGAGACAACGAAGGAACTTCAGATGACTCACCCACGCAGCCCGGATCCTTCGGAGCTGCAGCCAGAATGGGACCAGCATCGTAAGAGGAGCTGCTGATGAATGCCTGCGACATTGGGAATCCCTCCGCTTGGCTCAAGCCCAGTCCGGCGTATGACCAAGCCTCGAAGGCCGCAGGAAGGGCGGGCGACGGGATCGTCGAGCTGCTAGTGCTTGAGAGGGACCCGGTCGAGTCGGATGCGGTCGAGAGCCGTGGTGCATTCATGTCCAGCGGCTGGAGAGGAGATTCCGGCGGGCTATACGGATTCTCGAAGGTCCCGCCCGTTTGCGATGGATCCAGTGGGAAGCGAGCATCGGGGAGTTCGGCCGGGGTGAAGAAAGGCGCCTGCAGGGATTGGAGACTTTCCATGCTGCTGATGGGGGTGCTGGTAGAAACGGTGTCCAAGTATTGGGCATACGCCGTGTGGGCCGCCGACTGCTCATCGTACAACTGCGCAGTGAAGAAGTCTTGGTCCGACATGTTTTGAGGGTACATGTAGGATGAGGGCATGTTAGGATTCGTGGATGTGGGACTATCGGTCCGCTTGTCAGCATGGGGATCTTGATCAATATCCTGATCGATATCTTGATCGATATCTTGATCGATATCTTGATCGATATCTTGATCGATATCTTGATCGGTATTTTGATCGGTATCCTTATTTGAGTCTGACATGATTGGGATCATAGATAGGGTCGTATGAGGGGAATAGAAATGGCGCGAAAAGAATGGGCGTGCTTTGTCTGAACTACAAAGTGGAAGGATAAAAATGCTTTGTGACAGAGTGAAGATGCTCCTCATCGCGAGGCCAGAAAGATTTATAAGAAACAGGAAACTCACTCTTTCACAACGAAAGGGGGCGCTGGGGGGGGAGGAGCGAACTGATCAGCGGCGGGATCCAAACGAGGGACTCGCCTTGCACGCCGTCGTCGAGACGATGACCGGGATCGCCCGCCCATTACTTCCCATTCAGGGTCTCCGGGAGGAGCAAGTGTGGAACAGATGAACAGTGGAAGTCAGGATGCAACTTCGGTAGAATGCAGGACACCAATCACTGGAACGGACAATTGCACTCAACCACAACTGTTCTTCTCAGTTCTCCTCAGTGGTACTCGGATTCTTGGGAATTGACACAAACGTGGAAGTGGATAGAAAACCAGGTGCACGTGTTGCGGAGGTAGAAATTAGTAATAAGGCAGGGACTGTAGCTGGTGCAGCGACGGGTGCAGTGAAGGGTGCAGTGAAGGGTGCAGTGAAGGGTGCAGCGACTGATAAGGCTGATGCCCCACAGCAGAATGTGTGTCGTTCTGAATTGCAGTTGCCTTGTTGGCCACGGCAGTTTATCCTGACACTAGAACAAGGTGAAGGGTGGATGAAGTATCAACAATTATAATCATCAACAATAGCAACAACAATAGGATGGAAGTGTGGAAGCATATGAGAGGGATGGAGTTCCTGGAAATGAAGAATTAGACTTGAATAGAAATGGCACAGTGAGGAAGGATATGTAGGGTGTTAGCAATCTGGAACTGAATTTAGAAAGGCTTCGAACCCGTCCGGAGAAGGGGGGGCGCAGTCGATATAAGAAGATCTTTTTTGGTTTTCGGGGGGATTGGGGGGATGGGGGGAGGCATAGTCACCACCACGAAAATGCGCAGCACCATGACACACCATCCGCCGACGTTCCCCCCGATCTAGGACAACACCACGACATAATTAGGTAGTATGCTGCACCGCACGATTTCCAAGCCCTCCTCCAAATCCAGAAAAGAGCGGAGCCGTCCAACCGTTCGCTTTTGATTGACGCGAACAACACCGACTGCTCTCCACCACGATGCCCACCGCGTCCAGAGATCAGACACCGACCCGAACCATGCAGGGCTCCAAGCCGCCGAATGCTGCCAATCTAGCCAGTGCGCCCAATGGAACCTCTCTCCCTTGTCGAGCCTTACGGCGCCCGCGACCATGGGTGAGTGATGGGTATGCATGTCCGCTCGTCTGTACTCCCGAACTTCCCTGTCCCTGCAGAGCATCATCAAAGAGTCGACTCAGTCAAGGACCCACGGCTACCGGGGATCTTTCCATCTGGCTGTTTTCGGTTTGGGGGCATGCTGGGCTGGGCCGAGTGGGGATGGACGCGGTCCCTTTTGGCAGGGAATAGAAGGGGAGTCCCCCGGTGATCCATAACTAGTGACGGCGAGCATCTTGCACAGCAAATCCCCTGTTCCTCCGCCTCGCCGCCTCTTCGCGCAGCCCGAAGGTGTCTGCGCCATAAATCCTCTGCACCACGAGTCGGTCTGCCATTCTACTTCTGTGACCACCCCTTTCGTCCTGTGTGCTCCAGTAGCCCTCCCTAGTGTAGGGTAATTGCCCACTAAATCAATAATTATCAATGATTTTCTCGCGTCTTCGTTTGATAAGTCGGCAGCATGCCAATCTCATCTCGTCTAGGATCGTAAGACAATAATGTCAAGAAAATAATACTGGTATTTGAGTCAAGGTCGAAACCAAACTCATTCCAATTCTCAATCGCGGCCCGCTTCCTTATCCACTTTCCACAGTGCTGTGGCCGAAACTCGGACCTCTTAGAAGTCATTGCGACAGTGCTGATCTCGTTCCTGAATCCTGAATTCCTATTTCTCCATTTGGCGGGGTAATCATGATCCGTCAATGGGCCGTCATACTACGTATTTTTTAGGGAGGACACTGAGCTTCTCCAGTCGTAACGCGGATGTGTACCAACGGTGAAGACTCATGGTTATCAAGACCAACCATGGTTCACGGCAGAAAATCTCGCATGATTGACGAATCGGGCAGTGGAAATGCCGTTTGGAAATGCCGTTGTTTACTTTTCTCGACCATCATGGTCACTCTGATGTAATAGAAGTCAACAAATCTCGTTGTGGGGAGGAACGGTGGTCCCTGAGCCACGGCTCTCCTGGAGTAGGGTACCAACCGGAAGTTTCCTTGACGAAGTGGTTCAGAATTCAAGATTTATAATCATCGAATTAATTAGTTCTGTATCGCGGGAACGTAGAATTTAGAAACCCGTCAAAGGGCCTGGGCGGACCGGTCCAGATATGTATCGTCCTCCCCCTTTGACGTGTCAATCACGCAATAATGATCCAACTTTCAAGAGGCATGCGCGTCTTTGGAGGGAAGGGAGGGGACCAGTCATTGGCCTGCCAAAGAAAAAGAGGCTCGAATGGTGGCCTTCTCAAAATAATCCCGAAAATGCCACTATGATGCCAAACTACGACCACGTTTAAGTGTCACAAACCAGTGAACCACCGGGTCAGGAATGCTCGTTAGTATGACCAGCGACGGTAAGTACCTTGATAAATCGATGAGAATTGAGAAGTTTTGATTTCGAAGGGTCCACACCGATTAGGAAGAAAGAGGCGAGCCGAAGGCTTGTTCTGGACGCGCCGACGGGGATAGATGTTGGATGGGCAGGGGAGCTTGTCTGTTTGTTTGACAGATCAGCAAATCTGCAGGATGTGAATGTCTTATGTCACCGGGCGACGTGGTCCTGTATCGCCGATCGTTGGATCATTTGGACTTCTCGAGTTATTGAGAAGGCAGGGTTCGAAGACAGTGAAGATGCCCAGGAGAACTGCTGTTCAGACTTCAGAGGCAAAGTGTTAGCAGAAAGATTCTGTCATGCGATGCTTCGTGACGTTGGTGACATGGTGGCTGGGCGGGCTCGTCCACAAGGGCGGAACGGGCGCTGGTGAGTCCGTCAGAGATGGCTGCAAAGCGAGTCTGGGATCTCGGTTTGGCCGAAGTGGCACTGGCGCCGTCTGGCGGCGTGCCCCCCCATCCTCAAAAGTATCCGATCCTCTACTACCATTACGATAACAGAATCAGATTAGATGTTCGTATGTGTGGCATTATTAACAGTGAATGATTTGCTGGGTGGCTAATTCCGCCGTTTTGAGAAGACGGTATCACGGCATCTTGCAAGGTCATCCGAAGCGGTGCGACGATTCCACTTCGTCAGTACATGTGACGCTCCAATGAGACCAACCCCATGTGACGACAGAAATCGGATGGTTGCATGATGCGTACGATAGATTGGATGTCGTGGTAAGAAGAAATGTCGCCGACGAGAAAATCTGCAGAGCGGACATGGAGTTGAGGCTTGGAGAAACGGAGAGGCGGTGGAAATAGCGGCGGGAGACGCAAGAGAAGGAGCAGTCGAAAGTTCCATTGCGGGAAACACCCCTACTAGTTCCTATATTTGGCAGCCGCTAGGCCTATTTAGGATTAAAATGAGCCTCAACTGGGGCTTGTGACGCCATCAGGCGATTCTCGACACCGCCTCCTCCATTCTTGGCTCCAATGAACCTAGAGAGAAGCGAAGTTTGAGACAAAACCATGAATGCAGATTTATATTGGTTACTACTTGGATCAGTACAGGTTAACGGTAGTTCCGTAGGTATCCCTACCAGGCGGAGGGTCCAGAAATCTCTTGTTGAAGTCTTGTAGCCAGTTCAGACCTATGGGTATTGGTTTCATGGTGCATTCCTTGGTATATTGGCTTTCATGATACATTCCCTGGGATATTGGGTTCACCACTCAAGGTGCAAGATGCTATATATCGGTACGTAGTATTGATATTATGAGATGTTGCAGTGGCGAGTGGTGAGGCACCGAACGCCACCATGCACCTAGCCCAGCCATGGTCAGAGTAGAACCTCACAGGGCTGACTGGATTCTGCGATCTGGCCCCTCTCTACCCAGTCTACCAGAGTGCCAGTATTACTATCTATGCTCATTTGCCCCAAAGGCGTAAAGTTAACGTATCCGTCGAAATATCGGCGGTTGCAACCTTGTCCATCATCGATGCCAATGATCACTGCAATGACTTCTCCACCGTACGTTCACGGAGCTATCACTAATGGTCCGCCTATCTCCCCGAATTGACGACCGTTACACGTACGGAGCAGATGGATAGTTGTTAGTTGGACCCCAGGATTCCATGCTTGCTAGCCGAAAATAAATCCACCGGAAACAGATTCGCCGGGTACAGGGGTTGAATACCTATATCAGGAGAACCGTTCATGGTTAGAGAAGCGACGGAGACGATTCAAGGTTGTAAAATGCAACGCCTTGATGCTGCAATGGACCCAAATCGGAAGGCCGGGTCACTATGTCATCCCTATCATGTTTGCGGTTCCAAAAGGCAACCTCATCATCGGTTGGAGCGGCGACTTATGGGAAGAGTTGCCATTTTTTGAACTCTAGTCGAGTTACACACGGTTGTCCGCTACTCGAAGTCCCGACCCCGCATTATGACATCCAACTGAAACCATTCCGAACGTGCAGACCATGTGAAATGGAAAAGATGCATATATTCAAAGGTCGCGATGCAGCAGGATCTCACCACACCTAGGTTCGATAAAGTACCTCGGTGCCATATTGCTTATTAGGTGGTACTCACGAACGACGGCCAAATGACCCGAAGAGATGGTCCTCAATCTGCAATGAATGCAGTTGACGATTCCAATGGGCGGGTACACGTAGGACGAGTTCCTGAAACCACACCGGTGGAAAAATTGACATCTGCTTTCGTCCTTCGACGCTCTTTGCGTCCCAGCAATTGCAATCCCGATCACTAGTTCGTATCACGTCATTTGGTTGGGTGGCAGTTGCACGACCGCAAAACTACTGTCCTGGATGCCGTATTGATCCTGTGCACACAATCTCGGGCAGTACAGGGAGATCCAGGCCCAGTTAAAATAGCAACAATGATTTGGCTCGGTCGTCGGTACATGACAGTCGACAGAGGACTTGAATTCTTCTCCTATTTTCTAATCACCGTCAGAAACCGGGTGAACGAAGTCACTCACTTCGTGCCGGCTGCCCGCCTGCCGTTGGGGGAGCATTGCTAAACTTCACAAAACCCGGAAATAAGTCTATCCCCTGAGTCTTGAGGCGATGGGCCTGTTTCAGATGGCCGGCTATGAATCCAAACGTCAGAAGTCAATTGGCAGCGTATAAATATGGAGTGCGGACAGTTTGGGTATTTTGGGGCTATTCAGGGGATGGCGAATAAGGCGATGCTCTGCCGGGTCTGCCCTGCCCGTGCAGCATCAATTTCCAGCGTAAGCGCGGGATCACGATTTCTCCGATCCCCAATTTCGTTTCTGCCATCGGCCATGGGAACAATACACTCGACTCTCGGCATCAGCAATTGAATCATGAATCATGATCGCTCTATCTAAAGTTAATCCATTATCACTCCCGAGTCTTGAGTTCTGAACCATTTCACAGGGTATGTCTGACGACATGCGACCTGGATTCATGGTATGGAAATTGCAATAATGCCCATTGTCATCGAAACCGGGCACCAGGCATATGGAGTCCGACAGAAGGGAAAGATCCTTCCGGCATCACCACTGCGGTCTACACCAACCACTCGCAGACTCGGACACTTTCCTGTTGTCCCCTGGAGCGGCACTTCCGACGTGCGACCCCTAAACTTGTGATCCCCTGCTCACATAATCGGAGTCTATTGATGGCATACAATGTAAGTCATCGATAAGGGTGGATGTTGTGGGACGGGAATGGGAACCCTTCCTCCTGCATTGTCACCGTCCGTGGTCCATCACAAGGCCCATAGATGTGGTCGATAGGTATCAGCGGCATGGGAGGAATTAGGATGCGTTGTCGTCAGTCGTCTTTGTCGACAGGGTCACAGCCCAGACCCGGCAGCCTTGCGCCCTGCTCATCGACCATGCGACCATCAACCAGTGGTTTGTTTCTGGTGTCCAAGACATCGTGAAAGCCCTTTTGGCTGCATCCAGATTCGCGATTCCGGTGGCACACGTCCACGAACCTCCTTTAGGGCCTCCGCTTCCAGGCATGACAACCGACCAGGCGGCAAGACAAGAAACACCACGCGACAGACCCTAGTCAGTCCGGACTGTCGGTTGCAGGATTCGGCTGGGGACGCCGATCGCAGGCGAAATGCGTAGTGTGTGGCTGACTGAGGAGTCAGAAGTGTGGACTAGGATCTGACTTGAGAGGCAGGGGAAGCTTCGACTTAACGGATTCGGACAAGCGCGTGAGCGAGACTGCAGCCAAGAGAAATAAGGATGAGTTAGTACTCCGTACATGTTTCCAATTTCCATTCATCCATTTAGTTCCAACCTCAACTGGATCTCTCCGATATCGAATGCCACGCAAGTGGAATTTGGAAAAGTGGCCGAACAATCATCGTTGCAGAATGCCGAGTCGAGAGTCTAGAACGCGCTCATATCATCCACCCGTCTAGCACCTCGACACTTTCGGCTCAACCTTCAGTCGGGCTCAGCCTTATTTCGGCAGTTCTACTTGACGAACAGGGAAACCAAACTTTCACGCTTCGTGACCCCTGTATCGTCATCTCGTCACCACACATGCCCGATATCAAGGTTGCCAGGCTCAGTTGTGAGGTTCAGAGTAACTCCCCAACGTCCATTACCTTCACTTCAGAGTCGCTGCCGAGGGATAGTTCAGATTCTCAGGATTTCGATCCCAGTCTTGCTTTAGAGTGTCATCAAGCATAAAGCTTCGAAAAGCCCCCAATGCGGGTCCGAGGGCAGTTGAGCCGCCATATGTGGATTTCAACGGTCTTCTACTGGATCGACATCGTAGCGCCACGGCGTTGGCGGTTGGCTGCTCGTGCGATTCGATACTTCACCAGGTTCACCTTTGTCACCGTGTGTAGTACTCCACCGCGGTTGGTAAGCTCCGTTCAAAACGAAGTAGAAACATTGACTGAACGATTATATCGGTCTCAAATTGGTCAGCAGAGAGTCCCCTCAACTCAATTCCTTCCTCGGACGTTGGGAAGTTCATGGGAATGGAACATTTGAGCATGCTGTGTACTTTGAGGACTGAGGTACATCCAAATAAACTTTGCCTATTGAATCCCTCGAACCAATAGATATTAGCCAGAAAATCCCTGGATCGGAAAGTCCCGCCGGATGCTACTGAAGTTCGGTCCCATGGAGCAGTTGGTTAACCGGTTTCATTGGGTTTCGACTTCATTTCAAGCATCTCGACCGTTGACACCAGCGTGCCCGCCTCACTGCCGTATACTGGTCACATCTAGTATCCTTTAATGCTGGAAGGATTCGGTGTTCACACCACGGCCAGAATTATGAGAGGAAGCCGTCAATGATGCATTCAACAACGTCCCAATGGAAGTTTCTGAGTCTGACGCACCCTCTTGGAGCAAATTCTAAAATCTTTTCGGCGGACAGGAACATGTTGCACCCAAAACATATCTCTGGCTCTCGCCTGATATAATCCTACCGTTTGAGGGAGTCTAGAAGCTTCTTTCGAACGACTCATTATCGGGGAGATGGGTAGGTGGGTATCTTGGGAGGTAGTTATTATGGGGCCAGTACCGAACAATCGCGAAGTCGACGATAACACGTTTGTATACTGTTTAGACTTCACCGGTTCACCTTCATCGATGATGGTCAACCCCTGGGCTCGATACAGAGCAGAACATCATGATGAGGTGCGTAACCAGACTCCGGAGCATCAATTTTTGACACCCACCCGCCAGTCCACCATGGTTCGGAGCTTTGGGTCCATCTACAGATCATTATTCAATCCCTTGGGACTGTCCCTAGCCTTTCGGAAGTAGGACATGAATGACGATCCGTATGTGATCCAATGTGGCATGTGACCCCAACCAAGATGACAGAGTACATGTATTCAGAGGGGCTTTGGACTTTGGTACAGAGTACACGGACGGGATCCGAAATGAGAATCGCCAATTCGACGGTGCCAATTCGACGGTAACAATTCTATGGCACCAATTCTATGGCGTTGTTGATACTTGGCATTGTTGATATTCATCGCAGCGCGGCGCGAGGCCTGGATCGGTCCCTACCAAGCTTTGCTTCTCCGATATGACGAGCTCTGTTGGCATAATTCAACCTTGGCTCCACATTTTCGATATCCAATACCACATCGACACATTTCATACTGGGAAATTTAGGAACTAGTCGAAGGGACCCCGATGGAATAAAGAATGTCATCCATCTGGGTAGGGTTCCGTTTGAGAGCATCCCATTCTTCCTGATTTTTTACCATCAACGTGCCTGCTAATAGGGTACCATTGAAACATGCGGTTCCGGCCACTGTGCCGTTCGCATCTAGGGTCGGAGCGCCTTCATTCGAGCGAGGACAAATGACCATTCCTCCCTCAACCATTCCAAGGTTGTAACTAAATGGGACGGGCCCGTCGAATGAGGATGGAGAATTTGTCGTCTCTGGGGACTGTACTTGATCACCACAGTGGTTGATCAATCTGCGATAGACATGGTAGATGTTACCGAAGGAACAGTCCTCCGAAATCGGCAGCCCGAAATGCGAACAGGGTAGCGAAGGCAGCACTTTGAACCCTTCGAATTGTTAGCTAAGCATCGTATTTATCGTCGGATGATATAATTCTCTGAAGTATTCTGGTGAAGATCGACGTGCAGCGTGGGCCAACTTGCCTGCTTTCTCCACGGGTGACGCGATGATAGAATCAATCAAAGGGGCCCATGCGAGCTGAGAATCGTCCCCATCCATCGACTCGACGGGGAGGAACTGAAGGTGTCGGTGTGGTTGACTGGCGCCACTGAACGGCCCCGAGTTGAAGAACGCATACAATCGCCGGCCCTCCGATGACCACGACCTCAGCAGCTTGTATGTTTGCAGTAGATCATCCAGTTCAAGCAAATAAGTTTGGGGTTTGTCTATGACTGTAGCGAGAATGAAATGGTTCTTGATGATGGGATACTTGTTAAGCACCAGGAAATGGCTCGGAGCCCCTCGTGGGATTTTGTCAATCAACAGGTCCGGATCTGGATCTGCGAACGGGTCGACTTTCTTCTCGACTGGTTCGTTTGAAGCAGCACGCTTCTGGACCGGCTTCTTGTTTAAAGAAGGACAATATCGTAGTTGAAACTATAAAATGTTATCTATGTGTGTCGTTGAAACACAAGGGATGTTTGATGGACTAACCGGTAAACTTGATGCTGTATGAATGATGGCTAGCTCGGTTGGGGAAAATGATAGCTTCTGTGCGGCGATTCCGGCTTCATATTTCCTAGAAACTAAATCGTGCAATGGCACATCATGTTCCTGCATCATTGTATCGGCGAATTTGTTAAGATGATCTGGTAGTGCTAAACATTTATGAAGAGTCCTGAGCCAGAACCATGATGACGATGAACTTCTAGTCTCTAGTTGGCAGTTCATGCCCGAGGCAGCCATTTCCTAGCAGAACATGAACCAGGCACTCTGTGCTGTACCTATGTGACGAAGTCTATATCTTCAGATTCGCCGGCTTGACTTCGCTTATGAGACTAAAAGCATTGGAGCCAACAACTTTGGCTAAGCAAGTCAAACTGTAGCCAGTGGTCAGGAGCTGGGAATATCAACTTTATTTCAGTATTAGATACAGGTATCTCACGAAATCGAACCCATCACAATGAGCGCACTACTTTTCGAGTAATCATGTTCATAATCATTGTACGTAGAATGCTATATATAAATCCGAAGGACATGAAAATGCTAATGAGCTCGTTCTAGTGCCATGATATGGCCATTATCGCTCACCCAACTTGTGCAACTGCATCGCCAACCACTTTTTCTTACAGGTTGCGTACCCGAATCGATAGCTCCCACCGTGCTCTGCAATGTACTGCGACACCTTCTTCCACGGGATTTTCGAGGCGTTGACCTTCACCCGATCGGGACTTGACTTCGTGTGGATGCCAATCGCGGTGCGCAGTAATTGGATCTGGGGCATTCTGTTAGCAGAGGATAGTCATTTGGGTTATCGATACGTACGTCAACATCCTTCCACGCTGGCCTCCGGACCCTTTGACTCTTTTCCTTTGTAAGGATCCTGAAGCGTCCTCTCAACGTCGACTCCGCCTCCGAGAACTTGCCCCTCTTCTTGATTTCACTGTATGGCATCCCGGCTCTGCGAGATTGGACGAGGAATTGATTCTGCTTATGCTTCTGACCCCTCTCTCGACTTTCGTCCTGAGATGCGGTGGAACGATCCCAACCAGGGAATTCCCATTCCGAATTGGCTGTATAATCCCAAGTCTCACTATCGGGGCTTCTTCGACCCATCGAGGCCGACAATTCTGGAAGAACAGCCTCCTGATTCATTAGGGCCGGCTGATGTTCATCGTGCTCTTCCTTGAAGTCGACATGTGGTACGTCCGCTCCACTAGCCACGGCCTGGCTTAGAGAAGTCGCAAAGAGTGGATCGTCGTAATTAGGATCGATCGGACTATCGGCTTCCAGGGAGAGGCGAGATTCCATCGTCAAAGGCGATCCGTACGAGGAGGGAGACCAGTCATCCAAGTTGCTGTCATATTCGGGATTTCCGAAAGGTGGAACCGTAAATGCGCTTTCAAGGTCGTCTGCTGCCGTCCAAAGCTCATGACCCTCGGTGTAGAGTTCCCACTGATCCGGAAGGCATTGTGTCCCGCCTGAAAGAAAGGAACTGGTTGCAGAATGGTCGTCAACCTCAGACCCAGAGCTCTGCTGGCCCTGCTGAGTCTGAAATGCTTGTGGTAACATGCCTGGAATGATGATCGGTTGGTAGAGAGCCGACGACGGGAAGATCTGGACCGTCTCAAGATCATCACAAGTACCGCCGTCCTACAATTCTTGTTAGCTTCTGGGGGAAATATCCAAATATAGGACGTACCTCGAAGGTTTCCGGAAAGGAATCGACAGGTTGTGAGATGCAACCCCAGCCAAACGACGGGTTGGAAGATTGAAATGTAGCCGCCATGTGAGATTCTTTCTCTCCGTTGCCTGTGATCAAGATTTGATCCCTGGCTCACCGCTAACTGGGACTGTATCGAATGGCAGCTCAATGTAATTCGCCGAAACACCACGACGGATACATGCGGATCTTGCAGAGAGTACGTTGAAGCTTTCCTTCAGTACTGTCACTTCAAAGCCACTCCGTGGTTGGCGAGTCAAGTTGCTCCAGTGAGATCTCTTTTCCCGTCAATATGGAGATGTTGCTTTCCGTTGAAGGCAGCTCAACACTCAGACACAGTATAGGTTCCGGGTCCCAGGGCTGCAGTTGTCAAGAAGCTTAATGTTCAATAATGCTTCGCTTGGATGTGAGTATGGCAGAATGCAGATGTTGGAAATGGCCAAGAATTCTGCGAGGGGGATTTAACTCAATTCACTGACAGCAAGTGGTGATGCTGGAAATGTATCCGCAGCGAGAGAAATGACTAGAACGGCCACGTGCCAGGCCTTTTGACATTCAGTCAGAGTTGGTCCTGTGTGCTCGGCCGAGATATTATTGGACTGAGTTGAATCCGTGATTGTATGAAGGCAAATAAACACTAAGCCGCCAGAAGGAGAAGGAAAAGAAACTAAAGGACGTGGCCGACGACAATTCAACAACAGAGGGAAAATGAGTGTAGATCATGCGAGCAGGACATTAAGAAAAGCCGGGAAAGGGTGAATAATTATGGAGGATCTGACAGCGTCTCAAGCCCTCCTAATCCAGCCGTTATTCGGGTCGTAGTTTGCAATTACTCCACGGCGTTTGGATATCATGTCAATGCAAGATTCATAGAAGATCTTGTTCGGATCCCAGAGGTCTGGAATTGACCTTACCAGGATATTCACGGGAGGGGACGGGGAATATGCAAATATGCGGCGACAAGGCGATCGCTGATTTCCAGACCAGCCCAGGAAATCGTTCGCAACAGCGCGAGGCCACCTGCTGAAGCCAAAGCGAGATACTGGATGATGAGCACTTTGCAAATGACGAGCCTCTTCTACGTCAAAGAGTCATTCGACCTTTTAGTTCCCGAGACAAGCTGTGACTATGAATTGTGACTTAGAGGGATAGGCAACGAGAGAGACGAGAGGAAGATATACCTAGTCAACCTAGTGGATGCCATCGATCTGACAACTTAGGGGACGCTAGCACGGCAGGTTGCATTAGCGATGCCAACGGCTATGACGGGCCACCTGGAGGCCAATGAGACCTTTGAAGTCTAATAGCCCCCTTCATTGATGGTTTGCAGCACCATGAGAGACATCTCTGCGGGAACAAAGTTGGAGACGCGCGATATACGAAGAGACTTTGCTTGAATAGCCCTTGTCGCGGCTCCGATGGGCCATTCCACTTCAATCTGGTCGTATATAACCCAGGCGGGGATAGAGAAACCACGATCCGGTTTCCTAGAGATTTGGTGTCGCTTCTTGTCATCTTCAGTGGTGCCTCCAAGACCTCTGCTCTTCAGTGCATTCAGTTCCTTTCTCAACGTCGCCATCGCTGAGAAAGAGAGATAAGTATTTCTTATCCTTGAACTGGGGCCGTCAACTGGTTCCTGGTTCGTCGGGAATGTGCATGAGATACTCGGTTTCTTCGCGGGACTGACCTGTCAACAGCATCCCTGGTCAGGCACTGGCCATGGGCTCATAGAAAGGTCTGTGACGAGATGTTGAGGCTCTTCAAGGTGCATGTTCAATACTCACCCAGCACAGCAGATGAGGGAATGGATGCAGGCATCCATCCGGTTCATACGAACTCAATGTCCCTACTTCGTTGCCCCCCCAATTTGCTAGGAATGGGCCACGCGGAGAAGAGTTCCGAGACTTGGCGTTTGCTGTACAAACAGCTAGGATCGTCTCGTTTAGGGATCGTGACCTGTTCTTTGGTGGCACTGGTGGCACAAGGACAGTTAGGACACAAGGACCTTCAATTCAACTTCATTGCATCAGAAAACGTGGGGTTCCGGGCCGGAGCGTAGCAACATGAACATCCGTTGTCCAGAACGGAGTGTAAGTATGGGACAGACATCTCAGTCCTGAATGCCCTATGTTAGCCAGTATCACAAGTTGGATCTTTGCCAGAAGAGCTAATTGTTCTTGACGTTACACTACAATTTCGTCTTCTCTTGACCGTTTCCCCTTTCTTCAATTCTAACATTCTGATGTGGAATCCCAAGGTACTCCCACATGAAGTGGAATCTGTATACGTTAGAACTCCTCGATGATGCCGATATGTTCCTACTTACCGATCACTGCCAAAGAAAGGCTCGGTTACCCCTTTGTCATTGGTGACCATCGACCATGGACACCCAAATGCGCCACAATCGAGAGCTTCCTTCGTGTTGTCATTAAGCTTCTGTTTATACTCTGGGGTATTCGCTGCCGCCATTATCTTTCGGACGTCTTCTTCTGAAAAATGGCGGGAAAGTGATTCTGCCATCACATCTGGTTTACTCAGATCCTTGCTCTGCTGCCACATTGACACCCAGAGCTCGTTGAAAGCATCTTCAAACTTGTCTTGCGAGTACTTGTCCTTCACATAAACCATGCACCGTTGAGGCTAGCAGATGAGCAGTCAGTGGCAGGATTCCAATCGTTGGAAGCAGAGTCGATCAACGGTGCTTACCAGCAATGACAGGATGGGAAAGAACTCGGGCGTTATTAACTTCACACCGAAGTATTTCTGTGCCCGATCGCTATCGTACGGCCCATAGTTCTTCTTCGCTGGAAGCGTCCATGGTGGTTTGTTACCTATGTAAGGGTTAGAGTGGATATGATCAAGCTGGGCGGAGATCTTACCGCTTCCTACATTGATGCCGCCCCTAAACAACAGTCAGCTATAGGTTCAACCATCAACGTCGCTACAGTTTTGATGGCCAAGAGCGTCTGACGCTCTCCACCGAGTATATCTGGTGGCGTCAAACTTCTGACGTGGGAGAATGACGAGAAACATCGAGGATGTCCCAGGGCGTCCTTGGTGACAAGGAATTCAACTACGTACAGGAATACTGGAACAAATCTGGCTCATATGTTAGACGTTTCTAGCAGCCATAGCTACGGCAATGATCTCACGTACTCAACATCAACGCCATGGGCTTTAAGTGCACTACGATTCTCCCGGAGGTATACCAACGCAAACCACGAGTACGGGGATACCTGAAAATGATGGTTAGCCCAGAGGTTTCCTCATTGAACGTCTACTGATGGCATGATTGGAAAACATTATGACGATGAAGGAAAGTAGTGTGATGCGTGGCCTGGGTGACTTACACAGTCCAGGTATGTTTTGATCTTGGATTGCCCCATTTTGAGAAGAAATGATGCAAAAGGATGCAAAAGGACGCAAAAGGCCTGGTGATGAGGTCGAATGTCGCGATGGCACGACACTCCTATTGCTTTCGTTGTCTTTTCTATTGCCGTAATCCCCGCAGTGTTGGACACCCACTCCTGTAACCCGTTATGGCTGCTCTGAGCGGCCCGAGGCTCTCTGTCGTACTAAGAGAACCAGCCACCTCCACGTTAGTGGCCTACCGGTGCTTGCAAGACGCGCTGATTGAACTGGATCAGGTAATTAACCGACTCCGAGGCCTGTTCACTAATCCTCATTTCGCTGCTTCAGGAGCTGCGTGGTGAACGACATCATCCCGTAGCGATGAGCCGCCTGGATATCTGCAGCAATGTGGATTATCACAACAACCGACGGCAGATATATAAGAGCTATACGTTAGACCTTTGGGGTTTGGACAGCCCGGAATCTTCGAGATTCGCTCCTTAAGCTATCATACTCCAAGCTATCAGACTCCAAGCTATCAGACTCCAAGCTATCAGACTCCAAGCTATCAGACTCCAAGCTATCATAGGTACCCCAAGCTATCATACTCAAAATGGAGCACGAGAAAGCAGTTGCTTTAGTGGTGGGAGCATCGAGAGGAATTGGAAGGACCATCGCAATAGATTTGGCAAGGTACGCAATCCCGCTTTCGCACACAAATGATTCAACCTTACTCACGATTCATAAAGGAATGGATATCGAGGTCAGTAAACCCAAATAGCCGTCTGGCTGTGCCTCTGTTGAACCTGAAGCAGTTGTCGTCGCTGCAAAGACAACCTCAGATGCAGCTCGAACCAAGCCTTTTCCTCCCGATCCCAATTCTCCACAGTCCACAATCAATACTGTCGCTCGCGAGATTCACGAAGCTGGTGGGGAGGCCACAGCAATTCCGGTTGATACAAGGGACTTTGAGAGCGTCACAAACTTGGTGGATAGCACGGTGAAACTATATGGTCGCCTCGATGTCCTGGTCTACAATTCTGGAGCCATATATTGGGCATCTGTTGAGAACACGCCAATGAAGCGGTTCCAGCTCATGCAAAGGGTTAACGTTGAAGGCATGAAGATTCCTTCTAGGCGAAGGATGTGGCTAATTTGACCAGGCTTATATGGCACGATGCAAGCAGCACTTCCGCACTTCAAAACACAGAACTGGAAAGCTCGCATCATCGTCGTGAGCCCGCCGATCTACTCCCGCTTTTTCCGAGGCAAGACAGCGTATGCCATGGGGAAAGTAGGTATGAGTGTCTTAACCAAGGGATTGGCTATGGATTTCGAGCGTGAAGGGAAAAACGACATAGCCATTACAAGTATATGGCCTGCGGCGGCAATAGAAAGCGCCGCAACGCCAGACGCGTCACATCGCCCTGAGCTTCGCAAACCGGTAAGCTCGAGTTCCTATACCCAATAGAAGGCATCGCTAATTGTGACCAGACAATCTTTTCCGACGCAATATTGGCGATGCTTTCGGCTCCTGTTGCCACGGTGAATGGGAAGTTGGAACTCGATGAAGACTTTCTTAGATCCACAGGAGTGTCCGACTTCTCAAAGTATTCGCTGATTCCAGGAGCTAACCCCCGACGAATCATGCCAGCGAAGTTCCCAGAACTGACAGTCGCCGAGCAAGACGATGAAGGACGCCGTATGGACAGTTCTAAACTTCGGCGGGCAAAACTGTAGGTCTATGAGCTTTGACATTGTGTTTCGTTATTCCGTGAGCAATTCAGAAGGGCTGGTGGGCGGCATGTAGCACAACTGACATGGGGATCCATATTGGCACTCACCGTCCAGCCAGCCGTTATTCTCACCTAATGGATCACAATAGAAATTTCATCTTTCTCCGTCCGAGTTATCTCAAGATAAGCGTGATTTTGAACGTTGAGAGAGAAAACAGGTTGACCTACTGAAGATACGAAGAACAGTTTCTGCCAGGGAAGTCAGGTTAGCTCTCTATCCTTTGCGCGTCGTCTCCGAGCGTGCAGCGTCTCCGAGCGTGCAGCGTGTGCCAAACTTTGGCGGCATGTGGAATTCTTGCATTGCCAGTTCAGTTAGCTCTTCCGCAGCCTTCGGTTTTCGAGGGGGCTATTACATCCTGAATGTCGTTTTCTCTACCATTGGATAAACCTTCGACCAAACTGGCTAGCAATAGTCTATTTCCCGTGCTTACATAGTATGGTGTATGACAGTATCGCCCTATTTTCCTTAATTTTCCTTTTCTGGCGTTATTTTCATGAAAAATCGCAATTCCGATATGAGAACAGGTTTACCTACTTGTCCTTGCTTGACTTGTTGTCCTCTGTATGATATCTCTTTCTCTGGTCAGTTTCGAGCACCTGGAATGCATAGTACAAGAGCTGCATTTCGAGGAAATAATCGATCATTCCATTTAAATCTCTGCGCGAGAGTACAGACCGCGTGCTGAAATGGCGCAAGGGGTTCTCGTCCTCGAACACGGTGCAGCCGCGGAGACTCGGTCTCGCATTTTCTAAATATCCATGCATTGGTACCTGTCTCTCATTGAGGTGTACGGCGTGTGACTTCTCTGGACGAGATTCCAAACAATTAATGGCTGTATGAAATTGAGCTTGTGCCCCGACCGCGTCGATTCAATTGCCCTGGTACACACCAAGTTCTGGGAAAGCTGTGCATTCAGAAGACTGCACTCTTACACAAAATCATATGCGATTCTCCATTGTCACGGTGGTCAAATCTCATGCAGGAATGTTTGTATGGTTGTTTCTCTCACAGGTATTCCTAATATGTAGGACATTCCTCGCGGGCCACATGCCTACGCGACCCGCGGCGATCAACAGGGAGACATCGAGTTCTACTCGATTTAATAATTGGGTTGCCTGGGATCTGCAAATTCTCCGCACTCGCTGATTCGCTTCATTGTTAGACCGTTTGACCGTGTTCAGCTCTCGCGAATTGTTTTCGCTCTCATATTCACCCGTTTGATACGAGCTGTGGCGTACTAGGCCATAGTGATTGGCACAAGGTATCTCGGCAGAGGCCGCATCCCTACTCTCTTTTTTTTCTGCTCGTCGGCGGCGTTATTGCGAAACCGAATCTAATAGGATACATCGACCGTATTGGGCCAGGTGGACCTTTGGCCCAGAGAGAATCTGATCTGGCGAACCGCTTCCGCAGAGATCTAGAGACCAATTCGCTCGAGCCGTTATCTGCCAACAGTCTAACGGCACGCCAGTTTTCGACCGTATCTTGCCCGCAGGATGACCTGGAAGTCGATATATCGAACTCCAAGTACTACCAGGTTCTTTGCTACAAAAAGCTTATAGGGACTGACTCCATCCCGCCCAACGATGGAGAGACGGGGACTACATTGGATGGGTGCATTAGTGGATGTTCGGCTGCTACTGATTGCGTTGCAACCATACAGTACGAGAACATTAAGGCGATCCTGGATTCAATCCCACCCATTTTCGATGTAGCCAGACTCTCTGTACGAGAAGTCAACGTTACGACCGTCCCAACGTGTCCCGCCGATAATGACTCGTTCTATTTTGCAATGGACGACGATCAAGTCCAAATCGCCTGTGGATTCGATATCAATGGGGCCGACCTCTCAATACGGAGCCCTCACGTTTTAGGAATGAATTGAATATTTTACTTCCTACCCAGCTAATGATTGCGATGGTGTAGTATTTCTTGGGCTAGACAGTTGTTACGCTAAATACGGCACGACTGCCTTTACAGGCGATGGAAGTTCGAGCCAGCAGGGAGCGATAGCGAGGAGAGACCCCACTGACAGGAGCTGACTATCCAATCGATGATGGAGCGACCTTCATTGCAACCACTGGAAAAGGATTTGAAGTCATTTGTTACCATCGTCAGCCAGGCGCAGATGCGCCAGAAGGGGCCATGGCGAATGCGGGAACTTCACTCGCTGGCTGCATTGATCATACGCGATCTTGCCTGGGGGTTGGCAGTTAGGGTATTTTCTTTCTAGGAGGGTAATCTACCGTACATGTCGGCATTTGTCGGGCTATGTTGATATGCTTCTAGGACTTGCTACTTCAAAGCCGCCACTAGCATCGAAGGCGTATTCCACACGAACGTAGTGGCCGCGAGGAACCTCCCTCCTACCTCTACAACCAGTGCCTCTACGGGAGAGGAGCCTAGTACCTCGACAGCGGAAACCAGTATCTCCGACCCGTCTACTACCACGACAGTAGAGGAGTCCAGTACCTCCGATACCTCCAGCATCTCTACCATGGAAGAGACAACCACCTCTAGTAGCACGTCGACCGTCGAAGAGACAACTTCCGACACCAGAACTTAGACCGCAGAGACACTACTTCCGATACTAGCACATCGACCGCGGAGACAACTACTTCCGATACCAGCACGATAACTATAGAAGAGACGACCGCCTCCAGTAGTACCTCCAGCACCTCCTCGACTATCGACGAGACATCTACGTCCATCAGCTCCTCAACAGCAGATGAGACCACTACGCTAACTAGGTCCTCGACTTCAGAGGAGGCATCCACATCTAGTACGAGCGCCGGGGACACTACCACGTCTAGTGCCATGTCCTCGACTACAGAAGGGAATACGACGTCTAATATTAGCACCTCAAGCACGGTGGAGACGACGACATCTATGAGTAACCCCTTCAGCGTGGAGGAGACGACTATGACGTTGTCTAGTAGCAGCTCCTCGGTTCTGGACGAAACAACTACTTTCAGTAGCACCTCGAGCGCCGAAGAGACGACTACCTCCAGCGGCAGCTCCTCTATTGTAGAAGAGACTACTACATCTACCAGCATCTCAGGGGTGCCCACCTCGGCAACATCAACTTCATTCTCAGACACCTTAACCACGGAATCCACATCAACATTCCCCTCCAGCTCCTCCTCATCGAGCCCCCTGTCTCCATCTCCGACGGGAATCACATTCCCTAAGGCAAATGTTACCATGGTGACGATGTCCAATTTAAACCAGACGTACATCCTTTATTGTGCTTCAGACAACCCAGGTGCAGCAGATACAGGAACACCCTGTATAGGGATATCCTTTATTTCTTGCTTGGAGTATTGTTCCACAATATCAGACTGAATCTGTCGCCTCTGGCTCTAACAATGCAGCATCGGGGAACTGCTGTCCAAAGAAGGCCGCAGGGACGTTAATCTTCGCACCAAATATTTGGATCGCACTCCTGCAGGATCTGCCATCCAGCTCAACATCATCCTCGTCAATAGGAGAGCCAACTTCACCTACATCAAGCACTTCAACCGGTACAATTTCCGCCATCCCTCTAGCGATTCCTCCACAACTGGCTCAGATACCATCTCCACTGATTTAAGTAGCTCGTCCTTGTCAGACTCAAGCAGCGGCTCAGATTCATTCCCTTCGACGAGCTCGATTCCGAGCAGTACCTCAACTGAAAGCTCCTCGAGCTCAATTCCAAGTATCAGCTAGTTCCATCCCCTCAACAAGCCTCGATTTAACCACGTCCGAAACTATTAACGGCAGCAGAGCCTCCAGAGTCAAGGTCTAGTATTACAGTCAGTAATGCCGAAAGCCTAAATGGATAGTTACAACTGCTAACTAATCATAGATTCCAACGTCAACATTTCCTAGTTCTAATTTAATTACCGTTACCACAACTACCCCAGGCTCCGTCATAACGACAACCGTGTTCATCACTACAGGCGCCTCGGTTGTAACATCGATAATAGTAACTAATTACCCTATTAGGAACAACAGTGATATCGACGCTACTAGTAACTACCACTGAAATCCTGACTGTTACGTACACCACAGTATCTGGAGGATCCACCACTTTCGTCACAACAACCAGCATTTCTGCGTAAGTCGCTTCCTAAAAAATAGGTAGAGATCCCAGACCGATGAATCATACAGTGGTCCTACCGCGACAGCAACGACGTTTGGAGTGAGCACGATAAGTCTTCTCTGCTTTCAAATTCTAACAGTAGCATTCGCAAACTAATATTCTCGTCCATTGTTATCTAGAAGGGACAGGCACTGTCTGTGTACCACTGGCCACGCCGTCATCAACCAGCTCAGATACGCTATCATCGTCAACCGGCTCGAACACGGTATCAACGTCATCAACCAGCTCGGATACGGTATCGCCGACCTTCACCAGCTCGGACACGACATTGTTGTTGTCAAGCAGCTTGATCTGGACATCACCCAACCACACCAGGTCGACTAATACAGTGACTGTTTCCTCCACTCAAACCGGTTGCCGCACAAGTACACGAAGTATTATAACTATCACCCCCTTTCCGAGCATATGAGGGCTAAATGCATTGAGTTCAAAGTTCATCTTGTTGGACCATTGTGTTTCTATTTTAGGCCCGGAAGCCGCCGGATTTCTGCGATTCATTTTCCCCTTTGATCTTGTTGCGAAATCTAATAGTGGATAGTCGGATTGAGGCACACGCTTGGAAACGATCTAATTGAGGGAATAGCATATTTAGATTGCTAATGAAACAAATCCATGAGGTAAATCCGCCATCCTGACCTTCGATCATCCGGAATTCTGGAAGGAATGTGGTTGTAAAGATCCATCGACTTGGGCCACTGCACGATTCTGCACACTTGTTATTCCGTTCGACAACATAAAATGGCCCCAAAGATCATAAATAGTTCCAAAGGCATCATAATGCGGCTAGGAGGAATGTGTAACCCCGCTTAAAGAAAGGGATTTCTCTTTGATCCTTCTCTGGCCAGGGGTTCAGGAGTAAAATGACCCAGGTCCATCACGGCAGCTTTTCATTCGGCCAATCCCGCAGTGCATGTCCTTTTTTTATATAATTTTTATATAACTAGTTAGAATAAGTGTTATGGTCCCAGGCCACAGGCCTGGGACTTTGAGTATGGCTGACGCCACAGGGATGTGGCTACGGTAGTGGATGGCATCAAGGAGATAGTCATGTAGGAGCTATGTTGAGGAGCTATGTTAGGGTAGTAGAGAGAAGAGTCGATATCTCGCGCGCAGAGGCGCTAGGAGATTTCTTCCTTCTCTCTCTTCAGTTTAGATCAACGAAACTTGGTAATCGCAGATCTTGCGCATCCAGACCGTGTCAATAAGAGCCCCTTGGTCCGCTCCGCTAGGCTATTACTATAGAGACTTTGCTCGTTGCTTGCAAGACAAACAAAGGGGTCACTCTACCACACGGCACACTGGAATATTCAATTGCATGGGTAGGGAAGAATTACAGGATATTTTCGCCATTGACAAAGGATCACTTGATTTCAAGAGGACGCGTTTCGATAGCGCAGCACATGATCTCCTGACAGTTCCATTGCCGAACTGATTGATGACAGCATTCAATACTAGCTAGTATCAGTCGCTTCCCGATTATCCCGAAGCATATCGTATTTGGTTCCAACACCCTGCGTCTACCCGGTGGCTCATGGCTGCCACTGGCAAAGTACTTGGGTGTTATGCAGCCCCATTCATAAATGACAAACGCCGCCTCGTGTTGACTACCCAGATTCCTGGAGTCGACCGTTAGTAGAAAATTCTTGATCTTGGCATTGCGAAAGAATGAGGCAAGGTCGCGATGGCAATTTCATTTCATTATTGGGGCAGATGGAAGCCTCCAATTGGCGAGAGACAGTGAGACAGTGAGAGTGACTGGCATCGTATTTCCTGAGCTCCGCATTGTCGATTGCCTTCAGAATTCGATCGGATCTAATAGTAGAGATCTAGAGATGCAAGTACTACCCACTTCTGGTCTGCTGGATAGGTAAGAACTAAAAAGAAAAAAAGCAACAAAGCTACACAGCATTCCCGCGCCCCCCACCTCCACAATATGAACTCCTGCATTGACCACATGTATATTGCAGTGCCAGACTTGCACAGATCCGTCAAGTGGCTTGCAAACCCGAGATAATACCCTTGTTCATAAGTGAACTTTTACCCTCCATCAAAGTCATGATGCCAACGTCTTTCATCGTCCTCAAACTTTTCGACATGAGTTTCGAACATCTGAGAGTGAAGAGCGGGAACAGATATCCCAGTATACATGCGCCCTGAATGCTCCCTAGCAGGATTCTAATGCAAATCCGCTCCCTAGCAGAAGCTTGATGCAAGTCTACTCCCTAGAAGGAGCAGAGGGTATCAATGTCTTTGAGTTCGCCCAATGAAACCAGAAAAACAATTACTCCCAACGTCGTAGCTCATATTCCCAGGCATCAGTTGCTGTGGGCTTGACTCATCGTGGCGCCATGTGCAATCAGAGGCATCGTGACAGTTTCGTCACGGTCCAAGTGGATTTCGAGCGTCCTCCCCTTGAACTCGGATTTCTGGAGTGCCGCCACTGCAGCATCTGCTTGGCCTCCAAAATCAAACAACGCCGTGGCAGTCAGCTTGAATCGTCCTTTTGTGGAGGGATTGCGACGAACGACGCATTTGTTAACCGTGCCAAAAGGTCGGAGGAGTCGCTCAATGTCAGCCTTGCTGACAGAGAAGTGCAAATTCGACAAGAAGACGCCGCGACACTCGGTTCGGACAACTCCTTTAACAACATTGACCGGAATGCCATTCGAAGTGGTATATATGGGGTAGTTGGATCTCGAGGACGACGGAGGTGTGATGTTGGTCGTATACGGGTTGGTCGAAGCAGCCTCTGGAACAAATACTGGCACGGAATAGACGGGCACAGAATTTCTTTGCGCTGGGGCGTACACCACAGCAGCTGGAATAGGTACCCCAACCATATCGTTCACCGAACAAGTCGATGTAGCCGGAGAGGAGGACACAGAGGTAATGTCTGAACCAAGCGAGACACTAGAACTGTTGGCAAGGGACATGCTTCCCGGTGGGACGGAGGCGGATGGACTCCACATGCAGGTCCCAGGGAGACAATTGCACTTGTGCCCTGGAGGAGAGAGTCCGCGATGAGGACAAGATGCGAAAGGGTAACAGTTGCACTGGAGGAGTTGCGGGGGAGCCCCGCTCGTGTCGAAGTGATGAACACTGAGGGGTCGACCGCCACGGCTCCTTTTAGTGAACCCAGCTATAACTTGGTTAGCATTCGCCTGGCTGAAATCAGTGCAGACCATTCATGGATGACCATCTAAGTCAGGTTCAACTTACCGTACACCACTTTAGCATCTTTTACTGAAGTCAGTGAAATGTATCCTCCACAACCCTTTTGGACAGTCCAGCCGGGAATGGAGTGAGGCAACATCGTCCGGACGTTGTCTTTCAAGAGCCTGAAATCGAAACTCCGGGGAAGCTAAGATCGTTATATTAGTTGAGCGATCCAAAGAGAGCGACGATGAAAGTGAATGCTGGTATCCGTACTCCTTTGATGACGATGAGTTGCGTTCCTGTCTCTGAACGCGTGGCGCCATGGCCGGTGTGAGCTCTGGGGGCCATGTTCGATGTGTATAGGTGACCAAGTTGATTAGCGACAAATCCACAGACTGAAGGGAATCAAAGGTCTCTTCTACGGAGACGGAGTGAGCGTCCTATCCTATATACTTATCCGCCATCATTGTAGATAGGGCAGTCATATAACTTTGGCCTTTGCAGTTTGCTCCCTAAAGACAGGGCTGCTACTAGGCGTGTCCATTTTTACCTCTGTATTAAAGCCACATTCGATGTGATATGTCGCTCTGAAGGCTTCCATGGATCCCATTGGACATTATCCATGGTCAATAGAGTCAAGAATGATGAGCGTCTAAGCGAAGTCGATCTCAGTATCCGGAGCCCCTTCCAGGAACTCCAAAGCGGGCACAGACTATTAGTCCTGTAGGGGATACTCAATAAGGATCGGACCCTCGTCAGTCGCCAGTGCGTCGCCCTTCCTTCCGCCTTCCGCCTTGTGTGCTTTATGCCTCCATCTCGCAAATCGAGTGATCGACGCCATAGAGAACTTGGTGACGTGCAGTAAACGACCCGGGCACGGCGGACAGGGACGTCGCCATAATCCTGAGATTACATGATTGGCGGGGGGATGCGGGCCGCGCGCTGTGACCTGGACGGCTGGACGCCACAAGTTGTCCAACAGCCGTGGGCCGGAGCGTCGTCTCCACCCACACTCAGACACTCTCGACCGTTTGGCAACGGTCTATTCACGTTAGACGTTAAGTGCCCTGAAAGCCTCGAACCCAATGAAGCCTGAAGGCCATGTGCTGCCACAAGATTGATCATCTCGACACTGAACCTGGGTTCGGTCCAGGCTGTCTAGCATATATAATGTCACATAACAGGCTCGGTCCCTACGAACTCGCCACTTGGACGCTCGCATCTGGCAGGTCTGTCACCTTCGTCAAATATGAACTTTGCTTGATGCTCTCGATCGAGGATTCCAACAAGCTCGCATGGATGGTGGGTCTCTATCCGGCGGCTGCGACTTGCATTGGGCAGTGGTGCCGCAGTTCTGCTTGGCAAGGTGCTCCAGTTAGTAGAATGAGCTGCTTTGCCATACGTAGTAAATGCCACATGTCTCTTATTGACGGGAAAGCCCGAATTAGGCAAATCCTCCGCGACCTGGTTCCAACGGATTAACCTCTGGCGCTGGAAGTCATGGTGTTGACGTGCATGGAGCCGGCAAAGAGACGCCACACCCTAACTTGGCGTTTTGCGTCAACAAAGCAGTCTGCCGTTGGTACTTGGTAGCCCCCTGGAGATTGTTCAGACCAAAGCAATGTCAGAAGTGAGGAGAGGTACGTTACTAAAGTAAGCCATCACTGGTATCTATCACAGTATCGAATAGCGACCTTGCTTCCGCGGGTAAATCCCTTGCTGAGTTTGGAAGAAGAACAGTATGGGTTGAAGTCATCCGGTCCAGAAATAGTGATCTCGAATTCAGAGAGAAAACCAAAGTCCTGTGTGTATTTGCTTCCTACATTTTCAGTTGCACGACATATGGCATCGGCTCCTCGCATCAGGCTCCAAAGGCACCCTTCCTTGCCAATTTGAAATCATTCTATCGCTGTCTTTGGCTTTCTACTCATCTCCATCCCGCGCGGCCCTAGACTCGGATGTGGACTTGCAGGCCGTGACTCTGCGGCGGAGGTCATTGCTGCTCATGGCCAGGTCTGCCACAGTACGAGCAGGACGAGGCCGTGGCGATATCGACTTCTGGACACGCCTTGGCGGCCGAAGAAGGTAACATCCTCGCTGTTTCAGCGGGAGTCGATGGTGCTGTTGCCACTAATTTTGAAGTCTGGCCTCTGTAGTTTCGAAGATTGTTGGCCGGTAGGATACACTCCTTGACATCTGTCCCGTTCTGCGCTTTTGGGACTCGTTCTAGAAACTTGGACGTATTCCTCGTCTCGGTGCGTGGGTTGGATGGATTTTCCATTTGTCGGAACTTCTGGCTTCGATGATCGAAAACCCACTGATCGTACGGCCCAGAAATTGCGACGCCGTCTGCGTCCCAAGCACATACCCAGCTTTTCTCGTCATCAAGCCTGAAAAAAATTGCACGCTCATATTTCTTTATGTTGGCATTTTGACTGTCTGTTTCGGAGTTCTTCCTCTTGAACAGCGATGATTCACTGTTCATCGTGGTTGCGCTGTTTAGCCGCTTCATTTTTGGGAGATCATCTTCATGAATGACCCCTTCCTTCTTGCGACTCTCGTAATCCTCTTTGAACAAATAGCGACGCAGAATCAAGGATAGGACAACGGGCTTTGGACACGGTAACTCTTCCCCACGATCGGAATCCCGTGCCAAAAGCTGCCAGCCTTTTCCAGCTTCATATACATATAATCCTGGCTCAGGATTGTTCCAATGCTCGATGGTTCGCCTCCCAAAGCCGGGCCTGCCGGAAAACCACTCGGAGGCATTAAAGAGGGCTCGAGTGACCAAGTACAAATTTGGAGCCATGTTGAACGAAGACACAATGAGGGAGCAGAGGCGACAAAAGTTTACTGGAAAGCTTCAATCAGCAAATCGTCCCCAGTGCTTGGATCAGTTTTCAAAGACTCGATGGTTTCTGCGGTAAGGAACCAGAGGCTCGGGACGACTCGTCATGTAGTTTCCGGGAAAATTGGAAACATAGGACAATGATCCGAAACGAATTGCAACTCACGATGGAAGAGTGAGGCTCTGATCACGCTGCCATAATAGATTGTCAGATTCAGTCTATGCAGTGTAATGTCAGCTTGATCTTGGGATTATACACTACAGGACAGTGGAACAGGGATGGACTGAATAGTTCTCGCCCGACGTACATGTAATGATGAGACGATGCCAAGAATATCAATTTGAACCTGTACTTCCGCAGCGAGTGCTAAAACGCTCGACGTAATTGACCACAATGGAAGAAAAGATAGCGAAACGTAGGGCGAGTATTTCGAATCCGTACAATTGCGAGGAGGCCGGGGGCATTTTGAGTTTGCCGGGAACTGGACACAGCGATAACGGCCATATCTTTTTTATATTTCCTACATGGCAGCTCTTGCAGCTTTTTGCGAGAGATCTCCGAGCGCCAAAGTGCGCTCCCATGCTGTGGTGTCTTGGGTCCTATCAGCTCCTCAACTCCAAGTTGCAATGTAAAATGATTCTTAACCAATAATATGCCAATCTTCACCCTCGTGCAGCACTGATAAGAGTTCATTATCATCCTCCTTGCCAAGCACTGCTCGAATAGTACATATCTGCTGTGGTGGTCTTCCAAATCCATGGCTTCGGTGCAGCAACACCGCTGTCGCCCAGAGGATCTGCTTACTACGCCCAGGTGGGTAGATAATTAGTAATTAGGTATAGCGGTGTGAACCTCCTCGCCAAAAGCGTACCAGTATCCGAATCAGCTTAGGATCATCCGGAACGCCTAGCCATTGTTCGGTAATTTGAAGTCGGCCTTCAGATGCAGTCTATTGTGGCCAGCGAAGAGTTGCCCGTGAATGCGGTTGAGGTTCACACGCATTTTGCTCGAGCTGGGATCATTATCAAGTTGGTCAAGCAGCGAACGGTCCGGGAATTGTAATCGTTTCAAACGAGAAGCTACTGGTAGGGTACTCATGAAATGCCGTGTTCCCTTTGGAGGGTGCTAGGTTGGTTTGCTGCTATCAAGTGTCGTCCTAGGATACTGGAGTCATTAGCATGCATATAATAATATCTCAATGCACTGTCCACACAGCAGACCACATATTCACTCAGCGTGTAGCAACAAAGTAGTTTGGAAATCTGATTGAATTTTGACCCAACAAACTCCATGATGGCTGCACTGAAGGATCCGATTCATGTTATGCACATGCCATAAGCGATGCACCCGGGAACGGTTTGACCCTCGAAAGTAGGTCCATTTTTGCTCATCGATACAACATCCACAACTACGATTCGGTCGTCACCTTCGCCTTGCCGTTCGTCACCTTCACACCAAGTTGTCGCGCGCGGGCAACAATGTCCACTCGCTTCCTTGCCGACACAGCATGTCCGATCCTGGGATAAGTCAGCGACAACCATACGTTTGCGGGGGTTGACTGGTGAGATAGTTTCAACGTACTCTGCGGCGTAGGTGCGGTTGTGCATGAGGAGGAGCTCGACGTCGTTGGTGTTCTTGACGAGGAAGGCCTTGTGGCCCGAGGGCGTCATGTGGCGGGTCTTCTTGTTGGAGCCATAGCCGATCTAATTGTATAGCGAATGTGAGCAATCGATTCAAATGATCCCACGCCACGGAAACGTTGGGCGCTGAAGGACCCAGTTTGGTCCGCGGATTGATGCTCACCTTTGGCATGGCAGCCTGGCCCTTGAACCTTCTTCGCACTCGGTTGTCGATTCCCTTTGGTTTCCTCCAGCTGGGATCGACACGCATGAAGCGGTCGCTCTGGTGGCGGTTGAAGCGCGCATTGTCTACAAGTCACGATGTCTTAGCCAAATTTCCAAGCCACACCATTTCCATAACGATCGATATTCATCGAGATGATCGGATTGAAGGCGTAAATGCAGAATATTGTGCTCTCTCGCTTTCGCGGGGAACTTCGGGTCATTGGGTAGAGGTTCGGACGATGAGTTGGGAGACATACGCTTCTTGACGATCGGGACGTGTTTCTTTGCGGCGACCATCTATAAAAACGTGAGCAGAGTACTCTAACGGCTGATAAACAGCGATTAGAATGCGGGAAGAGACATACCTTGAATTGCTGCTGACGTCGCGGTCAATGTACGGATTTGGGGATTGATGGTGCAGTGTACACTTTGTGAAGTTGCAAAATTGCAGGTTGATAGTGGACGGGAAAACACTAAGCCGAATTAGGCGGGTAAAGCGAGCAGCCACGCACCCACACAGCCACATAAATGTGGCGCAGCATAATTAAGGTCACGTGCATAATACCGCATTCAATAGACAGAACCAGTTCACTAATTACAGTTCCTCCATACTGTTGTGGCATCAGTGGTAGCTACTTACTGGACCCTTCTGCCAAACTGCCAATGTCAATTGGAGTGACACCGAGACTGATTGCGTGCTACAAATGGAACCAGCCACCTGATCCTACTCATTCTCCATGGAGCTCCCGTCATGATTACGGGCTAATACCGCGCCCTATGAGCGAGGCTCCCCCAAATCATACGGCAAGAGGGAACTCCTGAAAGCTGGCCGTCATTCCATCGTTGCTTGCCCAGCCGACTCCGCGAGCAATATACTAATACCGTATCTGAGATTTTATTCCCTCAATACACAATCATGGCCGGAGAAACCGTAGCGACAGCGCTTGCAAAGGCCATAGGCAGGCCAGCTTTCATTTATGGCACAGCGTGGAAGAAGGCCGAGACGACGAGATTGGTCCAAGAAGCCCTCGCCTCGGGCTTCACAGCTGTCGATACCGCTGCTCAGCCGAAACACTATCGGGAAGACCTCGTGGGAAAGGCGTTGAGGAACTCCTTCGAGTCCGACATTATCAGTAGAGAGAGGCTTTTCGTATGTGCAATGATCGAGCGCCTGGTACACAGGCGGGACACCCAGCCCGACACTAATAGAGGCGACAACTCAGTTTCGCGCTAACTATTTATGAATAGTTACAGACGAAATTCACCGCACCTGGCGGACAATCCCTCTCGAACATACCGTACAACCCAGATGATGAACTCCAGGTTCAGATCGAGACCAGCGTGAAATCGTCTTTCAGGAACCTTCGCCCACGAGAAGAGACCGAGTCGGAAAACGAAACATATATTGATTGCTTGCTCTTGCACTCCCCGCTGGACACTCTCGAAAGCACCGTACAAGCGTGGAAGGTATTGGAATCGTACGTCCCCAAGCGGATTAGGCATCTCGGCATATCGAATGTCGACTTGCAGATACTGCAGGGGCTCTACGATAGTGTCGAGATCAAACCGGCAGTTGTGCAGAACCGGTTTATTCCGATGACGGGCTACGATGTGGAGCTTCGCGAATTTTGTGCAGATAAGGGCATCATGTACGAGTCTTTCTGGACCTTGACTGGCAATCCGAATCTACTCCGGCTTGAATCTGTACAAGATCTAGCAGCGAAGGTCAGAGTGGCCCCTGAAGTCGGTTGTTACGCCCTAGTTATGGCACTCGGCATTACAACCTTGAACGGAACTACCTCGACAGAACACATGAAGGACGATCTCGCTGGGGTTCTCAAGGTGCAAGAATGGGCAAGCGAACATCCAGAGGAGTGGCAGAAGGCTAAAGATTCCTTCCGTACTTTTATTGGAGCTATGTCAAAGATTGACACATTAGGGTAATTACACGCGCCTGGTTATACGACTGACTGTCCCGTTCAAGTGCAGATGTAAAAGTATAATATGCCCATATATCGTAACTTAAGACAATTGACTCCACGGTTTTTGCCTTTGCCGTGAGTTCCAGTGCAGTGTTCTCGATATACTGTCGATCCAGTCCTCCTGTTTTCGGTCCAGGGGCAGGATGCTCGGGAAGGGATATCGAGACGCTGAAATAGTGACATAATCACCTGGATGTAACTCCACACTGTCTGCATATCAGTAACGAACATGATTTGCATGGAAACGGTGGTCCATACCGGTCTCTTCCATCAAAACTTGCCCATGAACCTGCTCTCGCATCAAACGGAACGGCAACCCTCAACACGATGGTATCGGGTAGAATGATGGGGCGAAATGAGAGAGTATGTGCGCAAATCGCGGTAAGTAATATCACGGGATTTTCAGGGTGACAGAGCGATCCACCCGCCGCGAGGTTATATGCCGTCGAGCCCGTCGGTGTCGCAACGCATACGCCGTCCGCCTGGACCGTCGTGAAGTGCTGGTCATCGCCAAAGACCTCGAGCGTCGACATGGTGGGATTCGGGCCGCGATCGATCACGACTTCGTTCAAGATATTATAGGAACCGGCGGGCCGGTGGGTGTGGTCGTCGTCGCTCTCCTCTCCGATGAGCTCCTCGACGATGTCCCTGGAACGCGGCAGTTGGCCCTGCTGCGAGCGCATGATGGTGGCCTCGAATCGAAGCCTTAGGCTCACGGTGATCCCTTCCACGAACGAGCGGGACAGCGTCGCCTGATAGGCATTGTAGTCGAATTTGGTGAGGAATCCCATCGATCCGCAAGCAAAGGCGAGAAGAGGAGGAACGATCTTTTGAAACAGCCAACTCGCATAGAGCACCGTGCCGTCTCCACCGAGCTGGTGATATGTTAACGGTTGCTTCTATGATTAGCAAAGCATATTGAACATACGGCAATGACAATGTCAAATGTGTGTGGATATCGCGCACATAGCTCGCTGTTCCAGAACAGAAGTCGATCTTTAACCGTCGGGTACTTGTTTAGCATACCCTTCAAATCAAACCTCTCGTCGTGCTCCAATGTGTCCTCCACATATCTGGACATTGTCCTGTCAGAACAAGGCATTGGACTACACTGTGAGACTCACACTTTACAATCCGAGCCCTCTTTGATCAAGAGCCACTCCGCTATCTCTCTGACCGATTTGATGATATTTCCATCATTCGCCTTCGCCAGCAAGAAGATGTTCCGTACCTGGAGCTTCAGCTTGAGGGTGGATAGCCTTTTCGCCAATTCCCGTATTCCAAACGCCATATCCCTCAGCTCCTTCTTTGTAAGTAAACGTGAATGGACATGTTCGCGGCCCTCGACTGGTTCGGGACGCTTGTCTGTATGTTTGGTTAACGGCTTATTATCCGGTCTGAAACCACTCGGGGAAGTGATACGCTGTTCCTCGATGATGGAATGGACAATGCAGTGGTGCGGTATATCATGGTCGAGGGCTTGATTATTGGACGGGACGAGGGAGGACTTTCGACGATGCTCGGCTTCTTCGTTGAAGACTACCTGCAATTCTCATTTAATATCTAGTGTGCTCACAAAGAAGTCAGAGCACTTACCTCCAACGCTTCTTGGGCGTGTTGAGCATTAGTGGTGCTGATTGACCGGTGGTTGTTATCATTCTCCGCGAGGATGTTAGTTCGAACCAATGCCTCCCTCGAAAATGGAAACTCACCTCTGGCATTTTGAAGACAGGCGATGGTGTGGCCAGCTATGTTCCAGGTATAGTCAAGTACCGTACTGCGTGGACCTTTCAATCTGTTCCTACGAAAGGGATGCTTGGATGTGATTCTAGGAATTGGATAGCTCCGAGACTCTGTATTAGCCGATCAATATATCTGCTGTTGACCCCGCCTAATTACATCATGCAATCCAAATGAGGTACTAGCGTTCGGCACCCATTTGTACATTCGGCATTATTTGATAGTCGTATTGCAATTGATGTGGACACAATTCTGCTTGTCACATTTCGTCTCTCGGCATTAAAGTGAGACCAAAGATTGTAGCTGAGGCTCAAAGGCTTCAGCTGAGGTGCATAGAAGCAAGACGATATTCGCTCCTTTTGCCCCGATCACGCATCGGTAACCTGCCCATCAAGACAGCCACTTTCTGTCAAGTACCGCTGCAATATAAAGACTCCTCCTAAAGAGGAGGTTTGACGTTCTCGAGGACATCTTCGATCACACCTTCCACTGTGACACCATCCAGGAGCTTCCTGACCGCCTGAAGCGAACTTCCCCATTGAAGACTTCTTTCATCCTCGGGCTTCGTCACAGCGAGTCTATGCGCGTAGATTTTTCTCGCCGCCAGCACCACAATGGACGGAGTGACATAATTGACTCCATGGAGTGGTGCCATTACATTGACAAGGCTGTGGAAATGCCGTGTTGCCAGTGCTGAGACGCCTCCACCTGCTGCTCTGTGCATGCGAAGATGGACCACAATATCATGAAGGTATCCTCTTACTTCCGTGTTCATTTTGACCTGTGTTGAAAGTGTCTTCAACGATTCCAACTCGTCTACGCTGATGAATGCCCTCTGAGGCGGTGTCCTCTGGTGACTTGGAAGAGGGCCAGGTCTGACAGAGTCCCGTTGCGACACGCTTTCCTCGACTCCGTTGATGGTACGGTTGGATTTCGTCACATTGGGCGTATCATCCTCCGGGAGATGAGTGTGAGACATAAAGAAATGGTCATTCAACATCCCATTCAGGGTTTGCGTTGGCGGTGAAGTGACCAGTCCAACGACTATGAACCGTTTCGGAACCGAGTATACCGCGTTGCGAGTAAACATTCGTTTACCTCTCATCAGCTCAAGGATCTGGATCTGAATCGCATGAGGGGCGAAATCGAGATTCTCAACAACCACTGCATTTGCAATTCGTTTGCTGCCGAGTGCCAGATCGGCGGCAAGGCTGTCATCGTCTCCAGAACGGGTATCAATAAGCAAACTCTCGGCCAGATCCTCTAACGTCATGGTTTGATGACAATGCAAGCGTATAGTCTGCAGGCCGACAAGATTGAGGCATATCTGTCCATATTAGCTAATTGATTTCTGGGATACAATGATACCGCATACCAGCTCGACTTCTTGTGCAATGAGGTCTTTTTGCGCCTTGTTACTTCGAATCAGGACATGCTGTCCAGCTATTAAACCCAGAAGCACTGCCAATTCGAGGTCGCTCATTGTTCCAGCCTTTTCGGTTATACTTTCCGAAGCCATCGTGGTCAGGACTTCCGAAGGTATTGTCAGAGGGCCGGCTGAGCACTTTCAAAGGTACGAGTCCTTTTCTAGTCATATTCCGCCGAATTCTCGCGGAGCCAAGGTTGCATCATGGAGTGCTGAAAACATTAGGACGATCATGCCATAGCTTCCAACAGCTCTGGTGAGCGACTATGTAGACTCTGAATGAAGATCTGAAGAATACCTGTAGTTAATTAGGTGAGTTAAAGTCACTTGAAGATGGAGGAGGGGATTTGATATGAATTGATTGATTGATTGCTGCACACGTTCGGGCCAACTTTCATTCGGCCCACGTGGGGAGGATTTTTTTGCAACTCCAGAAACGTACAGGGCAGCCTCCTTGCAGGCCTTGGCGTAGCCTATACGTATCCATTCTTAGTGATCGGTAATCCGCAGTATTGTTCCAACCGCTACCTAAATGTTTTCCAAATCGGTGCCATACAAGTTGCATCACGTGAACCAGAGTAACCTTCACGCATCGAGAAATACAGCAGAGCGGGTTGTTTTGGAAGGCGTGCGTCAACCATACACAGCCCCTCCCTAGCCTTATCCGCATTTTCCCAGTCTACAACCACGTCCCCATCATGTTTCATTTGCTTCTTGACAAGAAACGATAGTTGAGTCTATCGAGAAACTCATTTGGTGGAACACTTCCCCGTTCAAGCAAAAACCAGGCGTCTATTGAAGCGCAATGGCAGTGGGGGACTGAGCCTGACAGACGACCTGGTGGCGACGATATCCCTCGAAAATACGCCATCCTCTCGCATACATGGATACATGGTGAGGAGGTCACATTCGAAGAATTTAGAAAAGGGATGCGAAAGCACACAGTTGGGTATAAGACGATCGAGTTCTGTGGAGAGCAGACCGCTCGTGATGGCTTGGAGTACTTCTTGCTGCATCGATAAGTCAAACAGCACCGAGCTATCGAAGGCCATGATGCCTCGGAGACGGAGCACTTTGTTGCGCGAGAGACAGAGCTCAAGGAAATACACCAAACACTCAGTGGTGATGGTAGTCGTCGCATCGCTGTCCTTCACGGGTTGGGAGGAATCGGTAAGACACAACTGACGGTTGCATATGCGAAGCGTTATCGAGACAGCTACTCGGCAGTGCTCTGACTCAACGCCAAAGATGAGGGTTCTCTTAAGCAGAGCTTTGGCAATGCAGCTAGGAGGATACTACAAGAACATCCGTCTGCTCAACGTCTCGGTGGTGTAGATTTGAGAGGGAGCTTGGGGGAGGTGGTAGAGGCCGTCAAAGGGTGGTTGAGTCTCCCCAACAACACAAGATGGCTGGTCGTCTATGACAACTACGTCAATCCAAAAGTAGCGGGCAACACGGATGCTGCGGCATTGGAAATTCGGAAGTATCTTCCCGAATCACATCAAGGATCGGTTATTATCACTACGCGATCGTCTCAGGTCACCATTGGCCATCGCACTCCAGTCCGAAAGCTGGAGAACGTGCAGGATTGCCTTGAAATACAATCGAATGCGTCAAGTCGCAAAGAATTGATAAGTGGTAGGAAATTTCTTAACATATAGGAATTATTCTAACTGAACCGACAGATCCCGACGCAGCTAAGCTTGTAAAAGAGTTAGACGGACTCCCTCTTGCACTTGCAACATCTGGAGCATATCTCGAGCAAGTGACGACCAGTTTGGCGGAGTATCTTCGTTTATATACGGAATTATGGTTGAAGCTGCAAAAGAAAAGTCCTGAGCTCAGCTCATACGAAGGTCGACTCTACTCCACATGGGACATCTCCTATAAGCAGGTTCAACAACAGAACCGACTTTCGACCCGGCTCCTACAACTGTGGCCATATTTCGACAATCGGGATCTCTGGTTCGAACTTCTTCTCCACAGCGATATAGGTGATCCGGAGTGGGTTCGCGAGTTTACTGAAGACCGAGTAAATTTCGACGGCGCAATTCGGGTGTTGTGCAACCACGGGCTTGTGGAAGCAGACTCGACTTCGCAGAAGAAGGTGGAGTCTCAAGGGTACCGCATGCACAGCTGTGTACACTCGTGGACTCTGCATATTCTAAATCCAGAGAGGAATAAGGAGATGGTGAGACTCGCACTGAAATGTATTGGGTTACATGTTCCTGAAACTTCAAGTGATCAGTCGTGGATTACGCAGCAACGGCTTCTGGCGCATGCGGCTGGCTATTCATCGATACGCAAATGGCGGGATGGAGTGGGCAGTACACAACCTGGGCGACCTCTACTCTGACCAAGGAAAACTGAAGGAGGCAGAAGAGATGTACATACGAGCGCTGCAAGGATACGAGGAGGCACTTGGACCGAAGCACACATCAACGCTCGACATGGTCAATAACCTGGGCCTATTCTACGCCGATCAAGGGAAACTGAAGAGGCAGAAAAGATGTACATACGAGCGCTGCAAGGATACGAGGTACTGGACTCCGAGCCCCTTCCGAGACACCGACCAACCCTCAACACTATACGGAATCTCGGCGATCTCTTTACAGCCAATCAGGCGGGAATGATATAGACTAACTTTTTGACAGAAGAGCTCGCAGACGATATGAGCAGGACAGGGGAAGCGGCCGAGATGGTAGATGAGAAGGATGCAAAGAGAAGACGTCGGTCATTTGTGAGAAGATTTATGCATAAACTCGTAAGATGAAGGCAGTTATAGTGATTCGACAAGAGATACCCCATTTAGCAATTGATGCATAGTTACTGTTTTTTATTCTCATTGGGATGGATTGTCAGGTGATGTTCATGATCGGATAGGGCAGCAATTTTGCAAAGGTTTAGAGGCTGAAACGATACCGTGGCGCACTGGTCACTAAGAATCGATACGTATAGCTTACGCCAAGTCCTGCAAAGACGCTTTGCTCTGGGAGTTTTTGGAGATGCAAAAACCGGAAGCCAATTTCGGATCCCACTGTACGGACTACGGATAGCTCTTTAGAGTGAGAAATTAAGGGACTTCCTGCTTTGGAGCCGTCAGGCGTCAGGTACCATAATTAGGTGTCGCTCCTCACAGCCCCCTGCTCCACTGTTCCTGCCAAGTGCCTGGACAACAAACTTTCCCATTATCACCTCCATTGTGTTGTCACGGCGTACCAATGACCAGCTGCACTCAGAATTTCCGGTTCGTCCACGCATACCCGTAGCACATATCATCCGTACACACATCTGTACACACGGCATTGTCGCTACTACAAAGGCGTGGACCAATCACCCACTGACCTGTGGCCAAGTTTCAAGGGCCAATTGTCATTTCAATCCTATTCGGTTTTCCTTCGCTTTGCCTACCTCAATGCTCTTTGTCAGACCGAGACGAGTCTGAATTGGCCTGATTCCCAGCCTGGGGGCTGACGACACAATCTATGTGGATATGGGAAGCTGAGAGAACTTTTCGTCAGGGAATTCAGGATGTGGAGCGACGAGAAATTGGACGCTTTGGAAGCAAAGACGAGTGGCCTGACTACGGTGCTCGACCAATATCGAGAACTCCTCGACAATTACCGGCGTCTTAAAAGTGATTACGAGGAAGAGAAGGAATCCAGAGAGAAATACAAGCGGCTTGCCCGTGGACAAGAACGTAACCCATTTGTCTTGGTGCTCGTAGATGGAGACGGGTATCTTGTAAGTACATCCCTTCGCTGTTCAGCACTCCACCGATTTTGTTCATTGGAGACTCGGACTGACTCTGTTATTAGTTCAAACATGAGTTATTGAAGCTCGGTCACGATGGGGGCGTCACTGCCGCCCGACGCCTCTCAACCGCCATCGGAAAACAGGTAGTTCGCCTGGATAAGGATCTCGAGGATTGCCGCATTATGGTCAGGATATATGCGAATCTACAAGGACTGTCGAGGGCTTGCTCTAGGAGCGGCCTCTGTGGCAATGAAGCCCGGGCACTATCACCCTTTGTAACGGGATTTACCCGCTCGCAAGACCTGTTCGACTTCATCGATGCCGGAGAGAAGAAGGAAGGGGCTGATTACAAACTGCGAGAAATGTTTCGTCTCTTCGCGGAAAACGGCCAGTGTAAACACATATTCTGGGCTGGCTGTCATGATACCGGGTACCTATCGCTACTGACACCATACAAAAATCGGTCCGATAAGGTGACACTTATCGGCTCTACTCTAGAACTCCCCGACTTTATGAGTCTGGGCCTACCCTTGATCGAACTTGATACTGTTTTCGAGCGCTCGACACTGGAAGCGTCAAACGGAAGCACTTCAACGTTGGGATTGGACGGGCATCGAGGTTCATCTTTCGCCGCACCGACCAAGAGCAACGCAAGATCATCTTCAACCCAAGTTTGCCAGCATTTCTTAACGACAGTAAGTATTTTGTATTGCAGTTTGCCAGAAAATAGAGCAAATGATCTCCTGGAGGCTTTGCCGCATCATTTTGTTCGCCAAACTGACATGATTTGCAGCCTGGATGTAAATTCGGCACTAAATGTCGATACGTCCATCTACTACGCGATGGGTCGGCCGCACGGCCTCAAGATGAGCCATACGCGCGACCGAAATCTCAAATGAAGTCTCAGTCAGAACCCTTTCCTCCAGCTGCGAGTCATAAATCGTCGGTATACCTTTCCAAGGAAGATACAGCTGGGTTAACCGGCCCGCCCCTGGGACGTCCAATCCCCTTGAACAAGTCCGGCGAGCGACTCGACACTATTGTACCCAAACCGAGCAAAGAGGACGAAGCCGCGTATTGGCGGCGAGCGAAGGCGCACAAAGTTTGCAACAAGCATGTGCTAGCTAACTCCTGCCCCGATCCACACTGTCTGTACGACCATGGTCACGTCGATCCGGGCATCGTGGATGTTATCAGGAGCTTGAATCGGAGATATCCTTGCCCTAGGCAGGGACGGTGTAGGCGTGCCGACTGCTTTCTCGGCCATATCTGCGTGAGAATCGGTTGTCAAGGACGAAGCACGGGGTGTCGCTTGACCTACAATATGCATACCATGTCACCGACGGTACGCGAATGGGTTGCTGCGGAGGACGCTGAACTGGATTCATCTATCGGCGCGCAGGATGAGGGAGACCGCTCGGTCGGCTCTCCCGATTCCGACGATACAAACGGGGTGTCTACAAGGTTTGAGGATGAAAGGTTGCCGGAACTCATATTGTAAGCAATCGAGAAGGTCATAGACTGGGAGGAAAGGCGACTAGAACCAGCTATCGGTGGTTTACTACAACTCGTTCTGTTTTATGGACATAGTGGGATACAGTGTTATGCAGTACTCCATTAGAGCGAGAACAACCCACTTTAGGATCAAAGCAATATTACGGAGCCGTTTACGGAGCCGTTTCCGATAACGTCCGCTTGAGGTTTGCAAAATCGAATTCTGATTGGTCAAATGAGGTTCTGGAAACCTGCATCGGAGAGCATTCGGTGGCCATGCTGAGTGAGCGGCATGAACCCAGCATATCGCGCCTTCGCCACGGACCCATTTTCGCACCACCGCACACTTAGATTAAGCTAAACGCTTCCGTAAAGGAAGCATGGGCGTTGATATTCCTGATGCTTCATCTTTTGCACAAAAAGTCCCTTGATTTCGTCGCTGCGAAAGGAGCCATCCGTCGCATTGTCTCCCGACTGCGCTTCACCACTCGTCGGCATCGCTATTCGACGATTCACACCAATGCTGCAATGGACGCTCCTTACGCACATGAATTACACATCGCTGAATTGGCCGTCCATCAAGCGTCGTTGCTTACTAAAAGGGTTCTCCAAGCCGTAGACAAGGGCTCATTATCCAAGAGCGACAAAACGCCCGTGACGGTGGCCGATTTCGGTTCGCAAGCTCTCCTCATCAGTGCGTTGCACCATGCATTCCCCAACGATGGCTTCATCGGCGAGGAAGATTCATCGGCGCTCCGCAGCAACTCAGAATTGCGAGAACGAGTTTGGGATCTGGTCAAGAGCACGACGCTCGAAGGGGACGATGCGACCACGTTGCATCACCCGGGCTCGGCGGACGAGATGATGGAAATGATCGATCTGGGAGTGAACGCCGCGCCCGACAGTCGAAGAACATGGGTGATGGACCCAATCGATGGGACCGAGGCGTTCCTCCGCGGCGAGCAATATGCCGTGGCGTTGGCTCTGCTGGTCGACGGGGTGCAGAAGGTCGCGGTCTTGGGATGCCCAAATCTGGTCCTCGACGACGGGCGGTTCTCCGAGACCGTGACGGATCGTGCGGGATATGGGTACCGTCTTTTTGCCGTCCAAGGACGCGGAGCGTTCATGCGCAAAATCAGCGATCGGAGTGACCCGGTGAAAGCCGTCAACCTCGCCGATCCGGAGGCAGATGCGTCAGTCAAGCGTCTGAGATTAAACCAAAATCTCCCGGTCCGGCCCAGATTCGTGGACTGGGAAGACAAGAGCATGGATGTGGTTCGCTGTCGAGCCGTGGCAAAGGAGCTGGACGGCACCTGGGTGCACACGTCCGCGTATGCGGCGCAACTAAAGTACGTGGTGATCGCGACCGGATGCGCCGATATCTTGACGCGCTACTTCAAGAGCCGAGACCGCAAATCGTTCATCTACGACCATGCCGGTGGCATTCTCGTGGCTGAAGAGGCCGGTGCCGTGGTCACGGACTTGGATGGAAAGAAGATTGATTTCACCACAGGACGGAGGCTTTCGGCGAACTATGGCTTTGCGGTTGCTGTGCCACTTTTACATGCAAAAGCAATAAGGGCTTTGAAAATTCAGTTCCAGGGGTGAAGGCGTCGATACCCGTACTTTCTGGCTTGTCAGAGTCGTCTCCTGAATGCGCAGCAATTCATACTGAGTGGAAGCTGGAATTGCAATCAGGGGAACTAGCCACAGGGTATTTGGCAATGAATTGGACTAGAGTGGCGTCTCCGGCGATTGAGAACACCGGTGCCACAATGGATCGATGGGTTTAGATAAGTCACTTATATGTGGAATGAGCGTACTCTTAGATGAGTTGTTAGAGTCTTAAGATAGTCATATCATAAACATCAGTAATACATTGAAGGTGCCACAGCAGATATCCATCCATAAGTGCCTTGAGTGTGAAATCCTCCCCCTAGATTCCTGGCGCCGAGTCCTGAATGACCAAAGAAACGCCCCAATTCCAGTCATATCGTCATCTTCTCCAATCGCTATACCCGCATATTGCAGTCACTTCTCCTCCTGGCTTCGCTAAGGACCTCATCAAATGTCCCGGTGACGAATGTCTTCAAAGCCGGAGAGAGATCCTGTCCTGGACCATTCAAAATCTCCATGAAGCGTTCGATCAGCTTTTCCAACCGCTTCAATTGGCTCAGGACCAGTTGCATCTTGATGCACTCCTCGTCTTGCTCATCGAGCGCGTAGCTGCCTAGTTTGACAGGTGTCCGCGTGGGACTCCGTCCTTGGCTGTGTAGTGAGCTCGACCTGCATCGAGTGGTATCCGGGCAGTTGCAGGCCGCGGAAGGTGAAGCTTGGTGGGTTTGGGTGATGCACTTGTAGGAATTCAGGAGCTTGGTTATGATGAGTGCAACGAGGAGGCTCCCTTCAGGATCCTTTTGGCACAGACACTTTAGGATTGAGGTAAGAGAGTCGAGAGCTTGTCGGTTGGAGTCGAGGATGCTGTCAATGGTGCGGAAGCCGCCTGCGGAGGCAGGAATGCTGGAAGGATCGTGTAGACTGAACAAGATAGTGAGGGCCTGGCTCATGCAGTGTTGCGAGCTTTGCCCCGAGGGTTGGATCTTCTCTAGCATGGAGAGCTTGGTGAAATGTTGTTGAATGCCTTCGGAAAATTCCATATTGTTCGAGGGCTGTGAGCTACATGCTGAAGCAGGCGTTGAAAAGCCATCGCCAATGGCGAAAGTGCTGGCTTCCGAAGCAGAGAAGTCGGAGAATGCATCTGATAAGGAGAAGTCGCTGTCCATGCTAAGATCTGATTCTAGCATGGCAGGAGGCGCCATGGTCGGGTCGGCGGAGAGGAGAAGAGGATGCTCAGGGATAGGAAATTTGTATGACGAATGGGAGGATGATGTTTCCGAAGGGGAAGGGGAGCTCGACTTGATATTGGCCTCATAGAAGTAGCTCTCGGCATTTGTAAAGTAGCCAGGCCTTGGGGTCTTGTCTTCAAGGTCACTCGAGGGAGTATCAGGGAGGACGCCAAGTTGGGCAGGGAGAACATTGAACAAAGATTGGCTTGCGTGATTGCTCCGGGCGCTCGCATCAGAGGCAATGGAGCTCGTGTGTGAGTGACCTGTAGTCGGAGCAGCGCTTGAAGGGGGGTGGTTATGGATTTGCTTCTTCTTCCCGGACCCTGCGGGCTTTCCTATCCGCCTTGATGGAGAGTAATTGCAAGCGATGCTCAGTTTCGAACACCTCGTGCACGCAGGTCTCTGCTGCCCACATTTGATCTTCGACTTGGAGCATGCATCGCATGATGCCCGAGTCTTCTTGGGCTTGCCCGAAGCTGTGGTGGGCTTCCCGATGGTATTGGGAGCTTCAAAGATGAAGCCGCTTTGAAACATGGTGACGATGTTGTGCAACAGAAGATAGTCGAAGATGGAGAGATCGATGAACTTGACTTTCGAGGCGTTCTTGCGATGTGCAAGAGCTGGATCTATATGTCTTTCCTATTCCTGTGTATCCCCCCTCTTTCCCACGTGCGGTTGCATTTTTAGGAGTCTTATGATTTTCGGACACGATACCTAAATTGTCCGGCGCCCGAGTTGGAAGGATGGAGATGACCCTGCAGCACCAACGACATGCCTACAAGCTGTTGTCGTTGGTAGAAACCATGCTCAGCCTCAACCTGACAGGGTGCTTCAACAATCTACACGAATTAGTTATTGGCACTGCAACGTCGAAATACGCACGTTTCGGAATATTTCGGTCGTATTCCACGATTTGCTTGAATACAAGGCTCTGCTGGGCTCATCCTCCACCGACCGTCACCGTTATCGTTGTCGCTGTCCAGTTGTTTGCATAGCGATTCATCGATTCATCAATTCATCTTCGACGGGCCGAATCATCTTCGGCAAGTTTTGCTCTTGAGCTTCCGGGAGCCAACGTACAGTATCACCAACCGAACACCGATCGACATGCTCCGGATTTCGTCAAGATGCGGCGAAGGATTCTGCCCTACGCATGGTTCATGCATGGAAGGGTTCCACGGCTAACAATAGCCAACGATAATAACGCAGTTAGAGAACGGCGGGAAATGATAGACCTTGTTGAAGCTGGCAGCTGGTTTCATGTGTCCTCTAGTCTGCATGTTGCGGGTCACGAGCTGGAGTGGGGGGGTTGGTTCGGAATCAAACCGAATCCGGGCTGAGTTTATTTGCGGAATTTCAGGGACCAGGAACACCGGAATGGTTCATATTACTGGGTGGCCATCTCGACCATGTTGTTGTGCAAGGCGTGAGCCTGTGAGTGAGATGGCAGACCGGAGAGAAAAAAGAGTGAGAGGCTGAGAGCTGAGTGGTGCACGATCGAGTAGGTTGGGTGGTTTGGTTGGCGTTAGTGGGGGGTTGGCATGGCAGGGAGTGCCTGTGTGGGTGCCTGGCGTGGGTGGCCTTGGGGAGTTGGGGCGAGGCTCCTGTGGTGCAAGTGTCAAGTTGCTAAAAGATCTGTGAAATGTCAATCATGATTCATGAATCATCCAGTGACTTGCTTCAGTTCGGACACTATCCGCCTTGTGCGTCGCTGTGTCGCGGCACCGCAATTAGTTGCCGCTGTAATCCCGCTCTTTCGCCGCTAAATCTCGGGGTTGGTGCGCTTGGCAGGCATCTCGAATTCCGTCGATCATCCACATTCCACTCCCGTATCGTCCGCGCCATGCATATCCATGCTTCTGACGAAATGATGCAGGCTGCTTGAACGAGAAAGGAAACGAACCGGAAGAAGGCCGCGTTGATCATGACTTTCGGACCCCAACCAATCCAGTGACCTCCGACTTCCGAGCTCTTTCCGATTGCAATGTCTGCGCGATATCGCTAAAGACATGGCTATTGCGGACGATAGGTAGTGAGGCAGATGAATGCGGAAATGACTTTGAACAGTTTGAAGGGACCAACACGGAGGACAGGGGGGATAAATTAAAAAGTACCTAGCCTGTATAGGCAACTGTGAATAGGCAAATTGCGACGCCGAAGCCAGATAAGATGATCGCTCTCATCGGTCTTTTCGCGAGTTGAAGTAGTATGGTTGTCGAGAAACGTGTTACTGTCACTCGGGCCTCAACGGTCCCTCTGGAGTGGACAGCCATCCAGGAGATGTTTGAAGTTGTATCTATCTTTGTAGAGATTGATGTTGTATCTGTCCTGTGGACGCTCATGTTGGATGTGTCTTCTATATGTTGCATATAACAGCCACTGTAGTTAGGCAACAGTGATGAAGCACCTATGTTGAATTCGAATACTCCTCTTTCTACGAAAGACTTCGTCAATGCTATCAACTGATGGAGACTTACCTGATATATGAACTCTCTGAATCGTCGATGCCCGCATCCTTCTTGGCATCCACAATTCCGATCCCGTGTAAAATCGCCGCTCATCGGGATCCGACTGAGACTCCGCTAGATCTTCATATAACAGGAGGATCATGACTCCCAAAAATGCAGCCCAGAGACACCGCATCCAAATCTCCACAGCTCATCATTTGCCAAGTTCAATCGTCTGTCGGATCCATCGACTATTGGATCCCCAAATAACCCCCCGTCTCCCTGCCCTTCAGTCTTCACTCGACGGACAAACCCAACATCACGCCAAGATGGACCACATGAACTTCATGTTCGGAATCATGAGGACAATGGATATGGCTAATCCTCCTTACACAACCTATGCACCTTGCACCACCCCCCCGGAGGCGCTCACTGCAGCACATGCGCAATCCGCTGAAACCAAAACGTCTGCCCATCGTGGCGAACAAAAGCGGGAAAATTCCCCTGTAGGGAGCCTGCGCAGGCGATTTCTGTCCCGGTCGTCGACCGCCAAATCTAATACGAGTTCAGACTCGGCGGCGGCACAGGATGGCTCTGTGAAGCCATCCTAGATTCGGGGATTCGGATCGTGAGACGAGGGGGTTGAGCATCTGATGGCGTCTTGTTTTGGAGTTCTTCGGTGCTTGGTGCTTAGTGCTCGGGGATCAAACAGTCGGACTGCGGACAATGCATAGCGGCGAATTCAACAGGTGATCTTGCAGATCGGTCTGCAGCCCTCTGTGTGGGACTGCATGTTCTCTAGATATTCTTGTTATCTATATCCATCGAGGTGAGACCATACATGAGTGGTTCTTGAAGATATGGACTTAGTATCATAGAGGCAAATCAATCATAAAGACTTGAGAATGGAGAAATGGAATGGGTTTGAACCGGGATCCGATATGCTGGGTTGACTGGTCGCCTATGCCACGTGGATAAACAAGCAACGGTGAGAGTGTATTTGCCCCTTCCTATAAATGCTCACAGACAGAAGACGAAACACCCGAGCCGTTGACGTACGAAACACAGAGTTGAGTGATCACTGAAACATTAGGCGTCCAGTCTATGACAGAGAGGCAAAAGTGGTGGACGACTGAAGTATCCAAGGGATTGATCTAGACCAGTTTTTTTAGCAAGCAAGCAGCAACTGCTAGATATCCGAGCCATGGACTGGCTACATGGTACATCTTTCGTGCGTATCTTTTCACTGCCATGATAGTCGTACCGATGCCGGCCATAGCCCATTCGGGGTCCGATTGAACACGGTAAAATCTAGGCGAGTCGACAGAAGTATTGTCCGAAAGAGATCTTACCTCTCCACATAACGAGGACCGTCCTTGTCCAGATACTGGCTATCCCATTAATCAATCCACAACATCACTGTAGAACCGCGATGACTTCCTTGTTTGGCGGCAAGAAGAAAACCCCCCGTCAAACGGTCGAGGAGATCTTCAAGCATAAAACAAATGAATGCACACCCAGAGTCCACGTGTGGAATTGTCTGGCCATGTCCTTGGCGGCTCCAAGTGTTCCTTGCTAAGGCGGTGCTTTATGTGGCCTATACACAAGATAAGTCCGAATGCGTCCGTGACTTCGTGGGCGGTATCTGGCACAACTCAATCATCACACGGAATCGAAGCATCGTCTATAGCTCCAAATTGCGCTTCAGAATATCCAAGCCTCTCCGACAAGGATCTCGGGTATCATATCATCTCTAGTAAGGTCATGTACGGGTCACAGCTGACCTCCAGTAGCTCACCTCCAGCATGGGGCGATGGTGGTGAGTGAGCTCGAGACATAAGGCGTCTCATCCCTCTATATAGCTCCGAAGATCAAAGCTCAAGCTATATCCTGGAGCTCTAGCTTTCCATGCACGGCGCCTGCTGTGCCTCGCTTGGTGACCTCATGAGCTTCGTGATATCATCGACTGGTGGCCGATCATGGCACCGGGCCGCGTCCCGCCATATAGACACCCCAGTTGTACTTGAAAGGTATATGACATGCTCATGGATGCTGTGGATCTTGCCCCAATTTGCATCCAACATGTTGATATGAGACTGTAAGTTCAGACACAATGCATCCTCTACAATAGAGGCAAATTCAAAATTATAAATCGGCCCTCAGCAGAAGGATCATAGGGTTCTGAAGATCGTTTCATGTCACTTGAATCAAGGCAACCAAGGATAGCGCATAGATGATTTGACTTAGAGGATATAGACTAAAGATTAAAAATGAAAACGCTCAGAAATGCGACATAGTGGTCGGGTTTGAAACGTCAACGAAAAGAGAGTCGAAACCACTTCCAGACTGCCACAGGCTATCAACACCAAAAATGGAGCAGGGGCAGTGCAATCCTAGTTGGGGAGATAATCTAGAAAGTGTAAGATGGTCTTATAGGTGGAGAACCTCTGATAATCAATACTCGGAGACCAAGACGAGGCCGGGAGTGGACCTCGACCGTTCGGGTGGGTTTCACTTCCGTTTATACTCGAAGAGATCGTCGTTCCAATGCTGGGGTACAGCTGGACCCTGGACGTTGACGCAGGGTAGCCGTTGTGACTAGATGCATGTTGATAATTGATATGCGGTACATCGTGAGCCGCGAGACCGATACGGACGAAAGCTGGGCGTCCGGGACTACTTGAAATTGCCGGGCCTCCCCACACCTCTGAAGTGGTCCTCAGAAATCATCCGAAGACTCCATCATGAGTCTGGGAGACGTACTCAGGTCGCTCCATGCAGATATACATGGGCAGATTGAGGCGGTACAGAGAATCTTGGCGGAGCTGGGGACCGGAAGTCGTCGGACGGCATATCCTACGCCGGAGCCAGAAAGCAGCAATCCTTCATCCCGCGTTCTCATCGTCGGCGCGGGAGTCGGCGGGCTTGCACTGGCACAAGGACTGAGAAGAGCCGGCGTGCAATTTCACGTCTTCGAACGTGACCTTCAACTTGCTACTCAACACAAATCGCATCGACTCCGCATCGATGCCGATGGCGTTAGCGCACTCAAAGAGATCTTGAGTCCGCAGTTGTGGACCAAGTTCGAACGGACGTGTGCGGGAACCACGATCCTCGAGACTGACATCGACGCAATAAGAGGAAAGCTCACTGGATCTCGGATAGGGAATCGAAAGGGCGGAGCAACGTATACGGCCGATCGGAACGTTCTCAAAGGGATTCTCTCTACCGGGGTCGACCAGAACATGACGTACGGAAAACATTTCATCGACTATAACTTCACAGACAAGGGAGTCGTGGTGAATTTCCTCGACGGGACTTCTGAAGAGGGTGCCATCTTAGTCGGTGCTGATGGGAAGGCATCTCGAGTTAGGGAGCAGTATTTGCCTAGCCATATCCCGATTAAAACGGACGGCTGCTGCATCAGCGGAAAAACTCCCTGGACAAACGACATTACGGAGCAATACCCAGGACGACCTACCAAGGGTATGACGTTCGTCATGGACGGAAGGTCGGCCTCCAGCGATCCTGGGGCATCGGCGGCGTCGTTCCTGGTGATCGAACCGATTCGATTTCGACGAAACAAATATCAAGATGAGGTTCCCAGAGATTATCTGTTCTGGGTGCTCGTCTGTATGAAAGGGAGCTTTGGGATTCCCGAAGACCAGTTCCTGACCATGCCTAATGAGGAAGCTGCCCAGCTGTGTCTTCAGGTCACACAAGACTGGAACCCCAAGATGCGAGCGGTCCTTGAGCATCAAGATGTCACCCAGACGTTCTCAATGCGACTGTCCACGATCGCTTCTGAGATCAAGCCTTGGCCCGCATCCGAACGTACCACCCTCGTCGGAGATGCTGTCCACTTCACCTCGCCCATCTCCAATGGTGGTGCTAACGCAGCTCTCCGAGACGCAGCAGAGCTGTCCAGGAAGTTGTCGCAGGAAGAGTTTTCGGTTCAGGCAATTGGGGAGTTTGAATCCCAGATGAGAGGCCGGGTTAAGAGGCAATTCCAGGCGAACAGCGGAATCATCAATCGAATGTCAGGGAGGATGCGGACTGCGGAGGCGAGTAGGAGTTGAGGCCATAGGTTACCTGTGAGCTGTCAACTTGGGATTTAACGAATGTCGTGATGGTTTTACGTACACTACCCGATAGCAATTGACATTCAACGTGTTATGACTATGTAGGTAAGATATGTGTCTCGCGATACTCCGTAGAGCGGATGCTGTTGTGACTTGTGAACTGAGATCATGTTGGATCTCAAGCGCATTCAGCCAATCAGACATCATAAAGTGCGACGACAGAAATGCATGTGCAATTGTGCAGGGATATGTTTTGATGCCTTAGTAGTATGTTCATCAGGGGGAAGAAATTGAGGACCGTTTCTTGGCATTCCCCCCAACGATCACCGCCATCACCACCACCACAGGCAGGCCCAATTCGCTCAAAAACAGCATAATATCAAAAAGAATACTCTTTTCCTAACTAGGCGACTACTAGAGGTATGTTTTGGTGAAATCTCCGCCGTCTTCTGGTTAAGGTCGTAAAAGCTGTGGTTGGGGGAATGCCAAGAAACGGTCCTCAATTTCTTCCCCCCGGAGGGTCCTTGTCTCCTCCGTCTATTTTCGGGCATCATCCTCAGGATTTCAGCTGAGTACAGCATTGAACACAGCCTGTGTGCAGTCATCTCATTGGTATGACAAGATCAGATCCGACTGTACTGATATGTAACCTGATCAAGATGTCAATTTGGTACATATTGCAGACTGCATGTGAGCCTTGTTGCCTAACTAACAATTAAAGCTTCATTTAGTTGCTCGTACCGAGAAAGGCAGGTGCGGACCTCCGCCAATCAGGATGGCGTGTGGTCATGCTGATAAAGCAGATGATTGGATGACTTAACAGGATGCTTGGCGTCGGCGTTCCGCCGCAGCGGCGCCGTCACGCGTTCCTGCCGTCGGATCGCTGGCATGTCTGTCGATCGATTTGTTCTTTCAACGTTCCACTCCATTTCACCATCTCCGTAGTCTACGCTCTCCAACGGGTTCCCGCAAGGTCCTTGGATCGATACCCATATATCGACCTCTTTAGAACCATGCCGCCCGTTGCCTAGTCGCTCGTTGTCTAGTCGCTCGTTGTGGATATTGCCGTCCTCGCAAAGAGGAAGACCCTTCTTTCGCTCCTCGCTCAGAGTTGGGACCGGCTGGGACTTCAGCTTCGACCTTCGAACCACCCGCCGAGCACTTCGCTTTTTCATTCTTGAACGACACCACCACGGAATTGCGCTGCCCAAGGAGCGGATTATATTGGACAGCTATGCTGTCTTCAAGATACAGGACCCCTATGCGAGCTGTGTGGATTGGTCTGGTCTTGTTTGCGACTAGCAAACTTTCGCTTGCGCAAACCGTAATCGATGCGTATGTTCTCCGTCTAGCTACCCTCTCATCATCGCCATAGTTCGCTTGCGCCGAAACTGACCAGATTTCTCCAGCTCGAAACTTCCCCAGTGCGCAGTGGACTGCGCCGCGCTCAACCAAGCCAATACGGGATGTGTACCACCATCCGCACCGGTGACTGACCAAGGGATCTATCAGAGCTGCATGTGCCAATCGACTTTTTTGGTCACTCTATATAGCACACCAGATGGCGTTTGCGATGCGGAGTGCACATCCTCGGGGGATAGACAGCGCCTGAAGGAGTGGTACGTCGGTCTATGTACCGGCGGCGTTGTTGTCACCCCGGCAGGGGGTAAACCAACAGCTACCACGAAGGGAGGACAGTCAACGAGTACTGCGGGTTCTCCCCAAAGTACAAAATCTGGTGTAAGCAATGCAGGGGTATCGGGGAGTGGCATCAATGAACCCCCCAAGACTTGGTAAGTCATCCGAGGCCCTAAGAACAGGCCCCGTGTGCATCATGCATCGAGTACAATCACTGACATGCTATCCAACAGGATTGCTGGCCATTGGCAATACGTCCTGATGCTGATCATCATATTCCTCGCCATGGTTTTCTTCACCGTCCTCGGCCTCTGGTTAAAGCGCCGCCATCGTCGCAAGCAGGACGCTCGACGCTCCAACGTCGCCGCCCCGGACGCCTCCTTTGTCACCACGAATCCGAACATGTCCACCATTTCCTATTCCCACTCCCCACGCGGCTCGGGTCTATTCCGCAACTCGGGCGGTAATATGACCTCCACCAGTGTGGTTGGCGTAGGTGGAACGGCACCTTCCGGTGCGATGGGGGCCGTTGGTCGCGCAGATAGTCGGAACGGGATGTACAGACATAGTGGCGGTGCTGGGAGTGGGACATGGGGCGGCATCGGTCGGCCGAGGGCCGGCACGGCGAATTCATCAACGTATCCGCCGATCACCAGTCCGCAGCTTATGCAAGCGCAGACTCGAGGTTACGAGTACCCTGATGTCGAGTCCGATCGAGGTCAGTCGCCGCCTCCGCACGGCTCATGGAGTAACACGAGTCGGGCCAAAGCGCGTAGCAAGGAGAAACTTGGAGACGATGCAATCACCGAAGTATATCAAGGTGAATCACCAGTAAGACATGAACGGAAAAAGAGGGACTTTGGTTAGGCAGTTGGGCATCGGGATAATGTTCTGGTCGGCGTTGACCGGACGGATTGGGATGTATGGTATTTCGACGATTTGGACATCACGACGATATGGCTAGGAATAGTTTTATTTAGGCATTGGGATAGAAGGATCTGAACAGGTCCCTCTCACAGAACCGAGGTGTAGGACACTTAGATTTTTAATATCTACAAATATCAAGGGTTCCGTGGATATTCTCGTCTCGCCTCTAAACTGATTCGTTCACTCGTGTCTGATGCCACAACAGCAACGCTTCGCATTTCACCAAGAATGAGTATACAATAGATGTAGGTAGGCTGCGATCTCGACTCTGCACTCATCTTGCAGCATTATTCTCTACTCCTGCTGAGTGAAGCTTTTTTGTATGCAGGGTCTCTGCTCTACCATCGAAGCATCGTAATCGTGAAGCCATAGCAGCCAGCCAGCTAATCCAGGAATACATAGTCAACCTTCGCTATAACGATTGAATCCGTACAGGCGAATCCAATCGTTATGACGCGGACATCGCTAAAACGAATTTTCTTGACAGCATTGATTGAGAATCCGTGCAGGGAATCTTATCGCTATAACGCGAATATCGCTATAGCGGTAATCGTTATAGCGGTGGTTGACTGTAATACATGGACGGCTAGACACCTGGGTTTACACATATCGTCCACAACGCCATACACTCGTTGTGTTTCCCTTGATCCCTTCCATGCAATCCATCGGTAACTCGCCCTGTGTCTTAACCCAGCATCGAAATCGAAAATGAACGAGCCATCGAAGGTTTATGCTGGCGGGGAGTCCATTCAAGATGGTATCATGGCCTCAGAAGATTTGATTTCAGATCACACTCTGCAAATAGCAGAGTCATTCTCTTCCTATCAATGGTAATGGGATTTCATCACAGGCCAATGTTGAGAGGAGAAAGGAGAATTTCATGGTGGGAAATTTCAGATACTTTGGTCAGCGAGAGGTCACATGCACGCCACGCCCGATCGGGGCTAGCGTCTCTCGGCGAAAATATTGAATATTTAACTTCATTCCGGGCCTCAACTTCTGTTTTTCCTCTTTGTGCGGCAGGCGTGATATATCATCTCCGTGTTACTTTTTCAGCCTACTTCAATGGTTCGTCAAGGTGTCGATCACGCCCTAGAGAGAAGCATTCATTGCTTGGTGATGCTGAAGTTTGAAGAATCAACTTTTTAATGGTTCATCGAACTTCAGGTACACCGGACATACTCGAGCAAATGATGTGGGAAGCTTGTGTACAAATGCAACCTTTCTGCAAGGCTCGATATATATGTAGTAAGCTTGATTTACACGGGGACAAGTGCTGTTGTCGCTGCATAAACCATGATCCCGTCAGATTCCGCCCATCTGGCGGTTAAGGACTAGGGATGATTGTGATGGTACATAATACATGTAATTCGGGGTGCATGCGAAGTTATCTATCCTCTCCGCTCATTCGTGATCCCCAATCTTCTCCAACTTCCCCATTTCCCTCTTCTCGCCCACGTCCCCAATGAACCGTATCCGGTCAATCCGCGTCCGCTCGCCATCACCGTCTCCATCGACGACAAACACCACAAGGCTTGACACATTCTGGAACTTGACATAGCGAAGCTCGAGCTTGGCCGTTCCGGTTTCCGGATCCCAATCTCCATCGCCGAGTTCAACGGCTTGTGTCGGGGTCATGTCTTCTCCCTCCTCGAACCCCAGATTGTGCGCGTGGTTGACGAAGATCCGTATCGTTCGTGGCCGCATGGGGATTTCATCGCTTCCTTCTGAGCTCGGCGGCAGCGAGGTGATATGTATTGAATGGACTTTGAGCGTCGAGTTGAACGGGACGTAGAGCATGAGCTGTGGGTCGATGTCGCTTTCAACCCAATCTTTTGAACTCCCCGCTTGCGATGAGCTGTCTTTCGATTTGCCTTTATTCAACGACGTCGGTGCCGATAGATCGAAAAGGGTCCGGGCGCCGCCAAATTCGCTATCGGCGTTCAAAAGATCCAACCCTCTGATGTCGACCTCCTCTGTGGCATCGGTGAACCCGCGAGGAATCGAGGAGCCTTTCCAAGAGCCTTCTTGTTTGCTGGTCGATGCGGAGGGCACTCCCACCGCAGGTTGCGGGACGTTTGCGGTCATCGTGTCGAACGCCGCTTGGAGTTCCTTCGCGTTTGCGCCTTGAACTCTAGCCACTTCTTCGCGATGGCGAATGAATATGAAGGTCGGCATCCTGATACACATAGATATTAGAGAGTGAGGAAGACCTAAGAGCATGGTCCCAGTTACTCACGACGTCACACCGTAAGCTTGAGCTATTCGGTCCTGGCGGTCAGTGTTGATCTTGGTAAAGCCGATAACCCTAGGCTGTGCGAGAGTTTGGGCCATTTGATCGTATATGGGAGCAATGGCTTTGCATGGACCACACCAGTCCGCGTAAACTGCAAGTCAAGTCAGTAAGAGATTCCGAGCAGCCAGGCGAGTAATAGGAAGGGCATCGTACAGTCCATTATGACCATCTGTGTGTTGTGAATGATTTCATGAAGCTGTACTTCCGACTCGACCTCGATAATCTTCGACATTTTGCATTCGTGGCTCTTCGCAGTATCGGTGACTTGTAAAGCAGTCGGTAATACGCTAGAAGCGGAATATCTGTCCAATCCAGCTGGCGATGTATGAACAGAACATGAAGCTGCTTGGACTGCGGACGGTTGGAGGGGTTGTTGATAGTTCACAGCCACAGATGATGCGCCACAGATACTGCCTTTAGATGATTGGTCAGTTTCTGATAGGCCTCTATCATGCCTGGAGGAACGAAGTTCCGTAAGGTCTGAGTGCCCCGCGAGGATCGAAATACTATGCACTTAAATCACATGACATTCACGTGAGTTTCACGTGATTTGTCCCACTTCAACCCCAACCTTCGTCGACTACCCAAAAGGTGTGCCCACTACCCGGGCAACTATACAAGAGTAGATGCGAACCGGCAAGCG